ACCGATAAGTGGCTTTTTACATGTAGCCCGATGATAATCGGATTTTTTTAATGAGACTGTTGTTCGGATATATTGTTATGCATATGATATAGTATATATATACATACATAATATATATAATATATATATATATATATATATATAATATATATATACATATATATATATATATATATATATATATATGTATATATATATATATATATATATATATATATCTGTATATATATATATATTATATAATATATATATATATATATATATATATATATATATATATATATTGGATATTCAGATATTTCTGGTTGTTTCAAATGTGATAACCTATGTGCAAAGGGAATTGTAGGTGCAAACCCATGTATTATGAAAATTTAACATTGGTACTTGCGTACTTGTGTATTAGGGTATGAACAACGGAACTTAAAAGCCGTGAGACAGGAGAAAAACAGCATCGATTTACAGAATTGTGCACTTTTGATTCGGATAGTACTTTAACTGGGACGGTAAATGATGCATCTCCCCACCAACTGAGTTTCACGCTTGCATTATATCAAAATGTCACCCATGACAGGATTCCCACGTCCAAAGTCATAATTGTTGACACATCGCACAGTTTAGGAAAATGCTAATGACCTGGATCAATTCGTGGATATGATTCACTATCAACACTGGAAGTGAGCTTGGGAAATCGCCGTTAATGAAGCGTTAGTGATTTGTGTGGGATGTTGGACTTTAATCCACAGCAATCAATGGCGTAGCCATGGTGGATTTTGGGGCCATTTCTCTGGAGATGGCCCGCGGCCTCAGCATTTTTCACGGTTTCAACACACGCTCGGGTGGGGGTCAAGAAGACCCCCTCGAACGCTTTTCCGGAATGGTTTCCTAACGGGCGTGGCGTAGCCGCGCCAAATTTTGCACAACTGTAGGCAATTGAATAGTGGACCGTTTGGTGTCAACAATTTGGATGCACCATATAAGGTCGCTGACTTACGGCTGGTCAGTCAGGCCATTGATTCATCGAAGTCAATTTCTAGGGCTCAATCTGATGCAACAGCGGAGTGTTAGACGAAGCCGTACATCTCTGTGATACTTTCTTAGCAACACAACAATTGGATGACCAAATGGCATTGACCTGGGGTCAGGTATGAAGGTCAGACCAGGGCCAAAAGCAACATGTTTTATTACTCCAGAAATCGTTGTATGCGGTAGTTTGTGGTGCTAATTTCGAATTTATTGATAACGGAAGCTGTATTATATATCCTCCTTTAACATCTTAAAGGTCAGAATAGTTCACTGACTTGAAATTACCAAGGTCGACATGTCGTTTTTAGTGACATACTGCCTTGCGTAATCTGTGTCGCTTATTCAGTTGGAAAACTCAAAGCAGCCCTGCGTGATTTTGGTCACCATGACCTTCGAAAGGTCAAACAAGGTCACTGACCCTAAATGAGCATGTGTCCTTCTGCTTAGATCAGGTATCTAGGTTCTGATGACCTTTGGGAGACCAACCTAGAGTTTGGCCTGGTTTGACCTTACTTGACACGAAGGTCCTGAACTAGGAACTTCAAACTTTGACGTGAGTTCACGTATAGGCCGACACACCCTGGGAATTTGGTGTCTCTAGCTCTCTAAGTTCCTGAGGTTTCAGGGATCAAATTGACCCCCCCCCCCCCCCGCCCCCCATCCGAGCAAAGGGTATTCAACCGGCCACCGGGGCACGTGTTAAGACGTCCTTAGGCCTTTTAAAACGTGAGCAATTCAGGCTCAGAGACGACATATGCAAAAGCATATTTGATTCCTACTTTTCGCAAAAGGCCCGCAACTGGTCACAACTGTCTGCAACCGATTGCAACTGGTCGTAACTGGCTGCAGCTGATCGCAAGTGGTCAAAACCTGCCGCCAAGGACACAGCTGGTTGCAGCTCACCACAACTGGCCACCATTGACCGTAACTGGCCACGATTGGCCACAACTGACCACACCAGGTCATAACTGGCCGCACTGGCCACAGCTGGCCACAGCTGGCCACAGCTGGCCGTAACTGGCCACGGCTGGTCATAACTCGCCGCAACTGGCCATGGAGACCAAAGAACGTGCGCGTGGAATGCGCAGAACTTCACTGCTTTTCATTAAGATAACGATGGCGTGGGAATTCAAGATGGTCAAAATTCATAAATAGTGCTACTACTGTATAATGTACTATTTGCTACGCTTCGTCCAAATGGGTGATGCTTTGTCTGTTGTGGTTTGCCGCCGTGGGGCCAAACTCTTCGCCTTGCCTTTCCGCGCCCAGCCACGCCGCAAAAAACAAACACCGGTAGGCCCTCCATTATCATCATTGCTCTTCACACCATTGGAATATGATATTAAAACGAATTCTGCTGTCCAAAGGTAAAAAGGCCTGGGCACCATTTTCGGAAATGGAGTTAAGAGATTTATTTCATTCTATACAGCTCGAAAAACTGCATCTCGTGATGTTTAGTCAACAATTGAAAAAAGCGTTTAAAGGGTGTCTCGACTTCTTTAAGCGCTCAATTTTTTTCTAGCAACACAGTTGTAGCGCCCAGGTAGTTAACATTGAAACATTCAAAGCATTTATCACATTTCAATCGTCAAATCGTGCACCCCATCTGCGGTTACGCGTTGCCTATAGCTAGGCGTTGCTGACCCTCCAGATACAAGCCCGCCCGCTCCTGCGCTCGTTTGGAGCATAGGTCGCTCGGACGAATGTTCAGACATCGGCTGTTTCGCCTCGTCACTTACGCGATGTGCTCGCTTGCGGATGGACTGCGGCTAAATGATCGGACTCGGAGATCAGACATTGGCTGTTTCGCCTCGTCACTCACGCAATGTGCTCGCTTGCGGATGGAGCGGCTGAATCGGACTCGGAGATCAGACATTGGCTGTTTCGCCTCGTCACTTACGCGATGTGCTCGCTTGCGGATGGACTGCGGCTGAATGATCGGACTCGGAGATCAGACATTGGCTGTTTCGCCTCGTCACTCACGCGATGTGCTCGCTTTCGGATGTACTGCGGCTGAATGATCGGACTCGGAGATCAGGCATTGGCTGTTTCGCATCGTCCGCTTACGAGATGTGCTCACCTTCGGACGGACTGCAGGCTGAATGATCGGACTCGAAGACAGATCGCATGGTGAGACAACGAGCAAACAAGGCTTTCTGGCGTCGGCAGAACTTTGGTATACTGTGCGGAGGGGCCCATGAACTGGCAAGTTGTACGTATGGGCACATGCACTAAGTCGTCACGTCATGAGCGTTTCTTCTGGCACTGGTAGAACACGGGCAAGTCGTGTGGGTGAGCACATTAACTGAGAAATCGTGTCATCAGCGTCTCTTCCGGCACTGGTAACACTGGTAAACTATGCGGATGAGCATACGAATTGAAGCATCGTTATGGGCGACTCCTCTGGCTTCGGTATAACTGGTGAACTGTGCGGATAGGCACATGAATTGAATCATCGTGTCATGGAAGCTGTTCTGACCTCGTTAGAACTGTGGTGGGCTGTGTGGAAGGACACATGAGCTGAGGCATCGCGTCATGAGCGTTTCGTCTGGTGTCTGCAGAACCCTGGCAAGGCTTTGGGTTTCTGAGCGTCTGAAGCATGATGACAGCGACCTCTGCGACCGTTGTGTGTTTCCCAGAGAGTGAGGGAGCCTCGAGCGTGATACGCAGCCGACTCAGTCTGATACGGCACCGATAGGGGCCCGGGTGTGGCGGCCGGGCGTGGTCCTTCGCGCTGCCCTGAAACGGCCGGCAAGCCCGAACAGCAGCGACTCGAGTCGGCAGCTGCCGACGCAGTCATGGACATATGGCCGTGGGAAGGCGATCGGCAGTTAGTCACACTTTAACGTGCATTAAAAGTTTGGTTAACCATCACGAATTCGATGGAAACGTCAGTGTGTTACAAAAACGGTATGGCGTGCTGACGAGTTAGTTAAAGGTTCGTGTTTGTGTAGCTCCGATACATTGCGAATCGGGGTAGGGAGCAGCCCACCAAGTCTCCGCTCTGCCAGTCCTCTAGTTTTCGACCACCATCCTGGGCTTGCTATACGAAACAAATAGAGCCGGTAAGGAATGCAGTTTGGTAGATGATTTGGCCGTCAGCGCTCACTCTCCTTCCGCCTCAACTAAATTTTTCAAAATGACGCTGGTGGATGTTCAATCCGACCTTGGCGAACAAAACCAACGCCAATGTAGCATTCAACTGGACTTTTTTAGCCCGGCGCAGCCCTCCGTTGCGTCGTACAAGCACGCGGCGAGCCGTTCAGAACTCGGCGCCTCGCGGTCGAGCTGGCCTACAAAGAACACCGCCGCCCTGGAGGACCTCCGGCTAGCGCGTGACCGGCCGGGAAGTGACGTCACCACCGCGCTGGAACTCAGCTGACGCCGGCGCTGCCGCCGAGAGGAAACAGGAAGCCGTGACTCAGTTGGCGACGACGCGCGCTGGCGGAGGACGCGCGGTCGGCACCCGGCTCCGATCGTAGACCGGCTCCAGCTGGTACCGCGCCCCGCCGCCCTTCACCAGCCACTCGGCGGGGACGCGCGCAGACTCGCCGGCGTCTTGCGGCTCCTCGCTGCTCGCTGCTCGCTGCGTCTGTGGGAGGTCGTGCCTTGCCGCGGGACCGTGCCGGCAGTGGTGCCCGAGCCCTTCGAGACGCCCCTGCTCGCCGACTCGACGAGTCCGGCTGGGCCGCCCGTTCAGCGCTCGTCGCCGCGTGCGCGATAGTGGCCGCGTCACCTGAGCGGAGCCGGGACGCACAGTCGACCGCCCGAGCGCGCCTCCGCCGCCGCCGCCGCCGCCGCCGCCGCCATGGATTGGATGACGGGCGTGCTGGACCGCTTCTACTCGGTACCGGACATGGCGCAGCCCCAGGTGACCATCAAGGAGGAGGTGCTGGACAGGTGAGCGGTGGAGCGCGGCGCGGCGGCAGCCGGCTCCGGTCGGACCGCCCGACCGAGTGTCGCTGCTGGAGTCTGCCGTCTGAGATGGGGTCGTCGGGTGCCGTTGTGGGAGGCGTGGATGCGCTGGCTGTTTTCGGAATATTGTATACGGCGAAGGGTTCTGGCGCTTCACTTTAGGGGTCGACTCCGAGTCGCCCCGCTCTGCCGCCGCCGATTCGACTCGACTGCGACCCTCGCCGGCTCGCGCGCTGTTCGTCAGCGCGTCTGAGCCATCGTGGCGCTGTTGGCGGCTTGTCTCTCGGCTGACCGTCGACCCGTGGGTCGGGGACTTGAGGCGGTGCGTCGCACCGCCCCCTTCGCCTGAGCGGCTGGAGTGGGATTGTGTTTACGCCGCTGTGCGCTGTCGCCGGTGATGTTTGGAGTGGCCGGCGCCAGGCCCCCGTCTGCCGGGCGCTGATTGGCTGCGGGCGTCGGGCCACCGTCGCCCCAGGCGGGGCGACCTGACCTCAGCGCCCGGCGGCGGTCCGACCAGCGGCCGTAGCCGGCAGCGGCAGACTGCTGCCGGCCGAACACAGCTGTCAGCCGCAGGGCACTCGGAGACCAGCGGAGGGTGGGAGGCAGGCGATGGGAGGTTCAGGCCGGCCTTGTGGCGAGCGGCGATGTCGTCTGCCCGCGCGGTATTCACCGAAGAGCAAGGGAATCTCATGGTTGGGGTATGCATGGCAAGAGACGATGCGACTGTCCCAATCCACCCAGCAGATCTGTCTCGATCCACCCAGCAGCCACGGCTGCTCCGTCTGCTGGCGAGTGGACCAGCGTTGCGACGGGCCCGGTTTGCCGGCGTCAGAGTGGATGGCGCGTCTGCTCGGTCTGTTGACACTCTCTCTGCCTTCTTGGCGCACCCCGGCGTGGTATGACGCAGTGAGTGCTGTGTTACGTCGACTTGGTGTCTACTGTCGGGCGTATCTGGACTCGATTAGTGTAATCATCGTTTGGTGCGCAAATGGCATCGCTCGGCCTCTTCTGTTTGCCGCTCGGAATCTTCTGTTTTGCCGCTGTTTTGCCGCTCGGCCTCTTCTGTTTTGCCGCTCGGAATCCTCTGTTTTGCGTCGAACGGAGCCGCGTGGATTCGCACGCCCCAGCCACACGTGCTTGTCATGCACGCGTTCACGCGTGCGTGTGCGCCGAGCGTCCTCTGGGGGCAATGTGGCGTTTCGAAAGGGATTCGTGACCCATCCCGTACCAATTCACCATCGGTTTCCAGCGGTGAGCTCGGCCTGTGGGAAAGATCGCCGCCAGTTCGCGACTCGGGGCAGGCCTCATTGTCTTCTGGACGGAGGAGCACTCCAGGGTCAGAGGGGGTTTTGCTGACCGCTGTCGTTTAAACGACGCGTCCGCGAGCGCTGAGCAGCCGGGCATTTGGAGCTGCGTGACTTGGCGCCTCTCACTGCGGCACGGCACGTGCGACAGACAGCGTAGATGCCTTCTGATATATCGGTGGATCTGCTGATATATCATGCGCTCAGACGCCAGCTCCGTCTGTACTCGGCGCGTCATGGAGAGCACCTAGCATATGCCACAAGATAGACTGCTAATGCTCTTTTGTATGTCTTGCATACTCCATATTCGGGGAAGCTGTCACCTTCCGTTGTGGCGGCCGATCGGGATTACATTTTGGATGTCGCGTGGCTGTCAGAGCTGTGCACATTGGACATATGGAACGTCAAGTAACCGTGCACGACCTTCTTTAACGCCGGGTTCACGCGTTCCCCTGGTCGATGCAATAACCACCGAGCGAGCCGTGCTGGGCTCCCGGCGGCCGCACGGTCTGGCAGACGTACACAGCGTAAGCGGGTTTGGCGAGGCCGGTGCACTGACCGGTATGTTAGGTGGCCGTGTGTGTGATCAATGTGGAGTGTTTATTTCGTCGCCAGTCGGCCCGATCTGTTTAATAAGCGTCGCCATCGCGCTGTTTGGGGATGGGATGTTTTTGTGGGGCGCAGTGGTTCTGGTTCAGGTGGCTAGACTATTGACCCGTATCGCTGACCCTGACCATTGGCCCTGACCAGGATCGCGGACCCTTATCTACGGACCCTGGCCGCTCCCTGACCTTCACTACCCGTTTCTCGTGCTCGTACTGGATAAGCTTTTGAGCACCTCCGGAGCGCGCCGAAAATCAGCTATCATATGTTCTGCCTCCTGGAAGAAGTTCAGACTTTGATGTCGTCACCTTCATCCGACTTACGTTAGGATGATATCTCAAAGGTATGTTGCTTTTAGATAGATAGCAACCAAGAAACTAACTAAGTCTTAAATAAAAATCACAGCCGCTTAAAAGAAGGGTGATGTCGCTCAGATCTTCTATCGCTTTGACCTGCCGTGACCACTGATTGTGAATTCTTTCCGGTATCTGTGCTAATTGTGGCAGAAACCATCTACAAATATATATATATATATATATATATATATATATATATATATATGCATATGTATATTTATATTTTTCATATATATATATATATATACATATATGCAAACTGATAGTTTGCTTATCCAGATAGAGTTCAAGCCTGATCCCGAATGAACTGCAAATTGGTCCTGAGACATGTTTGGTTCCCAAACCCAATGGGCATGCGTTGGAGCTGGTTCGAAATGCACGCCGGGTGCGTCTGGCCCCTCCTCTGATGTCTCGGAAAAGGTGGTAACAATTTTGACTGGTGTGGTCTGGAAATGAAAACTTTTGATGTAAACCAGCTTCTTTCATCCATTAGTTTTGAATTCGTCAGAAGTCCCCGGGAGGGTACACGTTGCTTTAATATGTGCTTTTTGCCTTACCGAAATCAATGTGCTTCCGCCTTTTTCCATCCACAACCCAACTTTTATTTCATACTATCCTATGACCCATTTTGAGTGCATGAGTCTCTTCGCTTTAAGTGCCTTCTATTATAAACGGTCAGTCTAATTATCCGTCGGATATTCCACACCTAAAATGCTTACAAATGTTCAACGACGATCTAAGCACACACACCAGGCGATCCTCCCCATTTTAAAACGTAACGATAATTGTGCATTTGACCTGTCGTATACAATTGCGATGGTAGCTGGGCGTCCGATGCCCTGGATTGTGCTATCGTACTCCAGCTGCATTGGCTGGGAAGTCTGCCTGCTCAGCCGTGCAGGGTCTGCCGACGCGCCTTCATATCATGCCGACCCACTGAGCCGATTCAATGTGTCCGAGGCCGCTGTCTGATCAGCTCTGGATTCGATCAGTCCCAATAAGGCCTGTTATACAGATAACACGAGCTCCAGAATTACCTTGGAGTGTGCGAACGAGCTGGTGCTACCACTCACAAAGATTGTTTGACGCCTTGGTGTGTGCGAGTATCTTCCCGGAGAGGTGGAGGCACACATACATCATTGTCACCGAAAAAGGATATGGACGCTGATCCTTCAAAGTTGAGATCCGTTTCCCTGCCTCCTTTGATTGACAAGTTATAGGGAGTGGCGTGCGCAAGGTGCCGTTTCTCCCTGTCGTACCTGTTATTCTACGCGTGAATCGATACGGTTTCTCTAAAAACGTTCGTGCACTACGACTTAGTTTCTTTTTTCGCTCGTGGAAGGCCATATCAGACGGATGCCAGACGGATGTCGCATATACCGACTACTCGGCCGCTTTTCAGAGCGCTAATCGCAGACTGAATGGGTCACGAACTGAAGCATTCTTATCATCCCCGGGAAGCGCCTCTCGGAGGCGCCCGCCCGTCCCTCCAGGGTGGGAGGCAGGCGACGCCATACAGCCTTAGCAGCCCAGTGCGTCCTGAAGCCCCAGTGACGACGACGATGCGCGCATCAGTGCAGCTGTCTTTTGTGAACGTAACAGAACGCAAGCATTTCTGCGTAATTCAAGACGTAGGTGAAACAGTTGATGGAAGCTCACTTTTGCCGCTCATGTTTCGAACAAAGTTAGCCGAGCTGGCAGAGCACTTGGCCTACTTGTTCGGTCGTTTCAGGCTACCGTAGGCAGGCCAAAATTATCTGAAAAGCACCACTGGTGGATACGAGAGGCCTCGACAGAACTTGTGTAATTCATCCCGCTCCTCGACGATTGTGGAAGTTAGAAGCAAGTGACTTGGTTTCCGTTGGGCATCTCAGCTCGCAGTACGCCAGGATCATGTTAGTGCTGGAGTTTAGCAGCATGATCTGGTTGGACGCGGCCAAAGCCTGGACAGCGCGGGTCGATCAGTGCAGCACAAGTTCCTCATTCGGCTGGTAACTTACACATCTTTTGGACTTGCCGCTTCACTGTCGTACAATGACGTGCGCCATTTCGAAATTTAATCAGTAGTTTCCCGGATAGTTCAGCATGATCTTGTATTTTTAAAAAAAATATGGTTTGGTGAAAGTTGGACTCAGAAGTTGCGCTCCGACATTTGTCTTGTCATGCGCCGCCTCGACTGGTCTCCTCACACAGGGTGTTCAGCATGCTAGGGGCACGTGTGAATGCTGTGAACGGCGGTCTTCTCCGCAAGCTGCCGAGGGATTAATCCTTTTTATTCCTCGATAGGAGCGAGGTGGACTCATTCGACTGCAACTTTACCATGTATAAATGTAGCGTGTTGAAGTACATCTCACCCCTGTAGTATGTTTATTCGTCTGTCAGTCACGTTTAAGTGATTTGTGGTGGCTGGAGCGCGCTGTTTTAAGGAGAGCCTGCCAGCCATTGGAGTGTTATTCTGCTGGCGGTGAGCTGAATAAGCAAACAACCAGGACCTGCTACAGCGCAAAAGAAGGGAAATTGACGAGGACGTTGAGAATACAGCGTGAACTGGTTCGTGATTTTTCGTGCTATCGGCATTGACGCCATGGATAAAAAAGAGCGAATTAGAATGTAAAAATGCGGTGGTATGCCTCGTACGTCATTGAATGTGACGACGTGAGACGTGACGCCTTTCTTTATATGGGGTTGGACGTGATACGCTTCTCCCGAGGGGCAACAATAAAGATGCATACGGTTTTTATCGTATCTAGATCCGTGCGAAATGGGGGCAGATTTGAAAAGCTGGTCTTGCGAAATGCGTGGATATTTTGTGATTTCAGACGATTATATCCGAGCACAGGATTGTCCACGTTATCAATGATTATTTGCGTTTTCCGGTTTTGTGATTCTTTATCTGACGCAAGTCTCGTCTTATGTCACAGAGTCAAGGATGTCTGTCGTGTGTGATCGTATAGAGAATGCTTGAAGACGGCGGATCACGTCTTCGTCAGGGTGACATCGGGGCACATGTATGCCATCCGCTTTACGGTGAGAAAGCTTGAAGACGACTGATCCCGTCATTGTCAGGGTCAAATCAGGACATATATATGTCATCCGCCTTACGGTGAGAAGACATATGAGAATCGAAGCATTTGATTCGGGTGCATCCTTCACCCAGTCGACCAAGAAATTCGAGCCTCTCAAACTTGGTCACGACCTATAGTTTGAAGACCGATGTAGGAGTGAAGAGTGTGTATTTCCTGCGTTTTTGCTCTACGATGATTTGACTATCGTGTACCCAAGGGCGTACACATTGAGAATACAAGCTGTTTTTAAATCAAGGATGCAAACACTTGAAATAAAGAGAACGGATGGGTATTCGGAAGAGAGCGGAGGAGGGCATTCAGTATTCAGCTAAGTCTTTCAGTGGGAATAAAGACGTTAGCTTTTATGTCCCGTATTGCCATGCTAGCCTGCATCCACGGAAATACTCCAGGTCACTGGTGTGGGCAAAAGATGCGAAGTTAATGCCCTGGACTATGTGAAACCCAAAAGTAATGGAAGAGCTACCATACTTCGGGACTCTAAATAGATTACTTTGGCGATAACATGTGACCATCACGAAGGTGGAGGCGGATCAACCCCGCATGGCAATGCGTTCACGCTCTGCCCCTCCCCACAGCGCGGGGCAATGCAAGCGCTCGCGCCTCGTTGATGTAGGTCTCCGATCGCGTTCTCCGATTTAAAACGCCATAGGGTTGCCCCTGGCGTATTCCAAGTGGCCCTGACGGCTGCGCGTAAGGGCGCCTAACGACCCGGCGCTCCACGCTGCCTGCCGGTGGCGTCGTGAGCGGTGCAGTCGGCCGAGCGGCGCGTGGCGCGCTGCCGCCGGAGCTGGGCGTTTGTCCCGCTGTCTGTCCGGTCATGGGCGGCCCGCGCGCAACAGCACGCGTTCTCGTCCGGCTCCAGGCGGCGGCCGCGTCCCGCCGTCCTCGTTAGCAAGGGGCCGTCAAATTGCGGCCAGCGGCCGACCAATCGGCGTCGGCGCTGGGCGGGCGGGGCCGCGCCGGGTCGGGCCGCAAGTTTTACAGGTCTTGGGAAACAGAGCTGCGATAGAGCGATAGACATCGGCTGCGGACACCGCCGCCGAGTGGCGACACGCTTTCTCGCCGCTCACCCGGTCTGATGTCACTGGTCTGGTCAGCAATAGCATGGCCCGCGGCGTTCTGACACTGGCCTGGTGGCCCGCGGCGCTCTGACACTGGTCTGGTCAGGTCGCGGGCGTGAAAAGCGCCCGTCACTCGTCACTGATCCGGCCCCCGTTGCAGCCTCCGTCACTGGGTCACTGGTCTGACCATACTAACGCGGCTTCAGTTACTCTGTTGCCGATCGGGTCAGGTTAGCGCACGCTTGGTCACTGTGTCATTGGTCTAATCAGGACATGCCATTGGTCTAACCAGGTCACTGCAGCTTCCGTCACCGGGCTGCTGGTCTGACAAGGTGACTGGAGGGACGCTGTCCCGTCACGTTGGAGTCAAACAGTCAACATGTTACCTTCGTCGCTCGAATAACGTGAGCCTATAGTTCCGGCTCGGTTGCGTGTGAAGACTCCATCATTCGTGCTTTATGCCTCGTGTGTGTGGAAAGGAGACAGCAGGCGTTGACCGGCGGGCTCGCGGGCGTCTGGTTCAGCGGCGGACCCCCGTGTCCGTGTCGCGCTCGTGTCGCGCTCGGGTCCCGCTCGGGTCATGCTTCGGTCGCTGGCGGTTATGGAAAAGTCGGGGACGGTTGTGTCCGTGCGTGGGGTATGATCACGCACGCGGTATTTGTCTCCGGAGGTGGGCATGCTGGAAACCTGGAGAGTGAGCGGAGGGAGGGGGGGGGGGGGGGGGGGGGGCGAATACCACTGTCGGTCGTACTATTACAACACACAAGCTGGGTTATACTGCTGGAGGCTGTTCTATATTCAGACGGCAGGGCCACTTGAAGGAGGGCGTGTCGATCATAACTGCGTATCGGACGGCGAAGAGACACGAGCGAGCCCTGCGGTCCTGGAAAGTGTTTTGAATTAGCGGGGTCTTAATGTCACTCCGTGTTTATTGTCGCGTACATTTCAGCGAGGTACTATGGACACCTTGTGTGAAAATATAGTCGACCATCGCCGGCGGGTAATATTCATGCGATGCCATTTTTGTCCATATTATTTGATGATTGGATAATTTACTGTAATTAGATGGCTCACAATAACTCGCTTGGAGTGAAATCGAAATGCGTGATTGAATTAGATCTCTACACAGGGACCCTAGGCGGCAGATATGTTGCCCAGTGCCGTTCTGCTCGTTCCAGCACATTGGCAATGGCTCCCAACATAATTCACCGTATCAAAGGTGTTGGAGGCAATGTTCCGTGGTTCCGACGAATAACTTCCGCATGGCCTCCAATAACAGGCATACGTTGTGGCCCGATGTGATGGCGGCGGTAGCGGGTGGGGGTAGGCTGTGGTCATTGTTAATCGTCGAATGTTGCATGAAATGTTCGCGTTGTAACAAAAGCAGCGGGACCGTCTTTTATTGCCTGGCTGTATTTCGGTCTCAGGTTAGTAGAGAGTAACAACGTAAGAACGACTGTTGCACAGCAAAACAGTAGCACGCAAACAACAGCACGGCATTGTTGGCTATGTTGTTGTATGTCGTAGGTTATTGATCATTGGCCAGTACCTAATACCAATGCAAATACATTGATAGTACAGGGCCGGTGGCAGTATGTACACGGACCAGTGACACGGAACGGCAGTAACGGCACAAAGCGTTGAAGCCGGCTGGCGAAACTAAAGCCTCCATCGACGCCATGTCCAACGTTCAATGACGTCTCGAGTTTCAGGCGCTCGAAGTCAGGACATTATCAGCCCAGTCAAAGCCACCCGTACGTGTCTTAACAGCTGGTACAGCGTGTCCCATTCGCACTATCGTATGCGGCTCGTGACTATGACCACACACCCTCATCCGCTCACGTGGGGCGCTCTGGCTGTCCAGGCGTATCCCACGCTGCTGGCACCAGGGCCCTCGGGTTCCACACCGGTGAGCATTGCAGCCTGCGACTGGACACACTGCCTGCCATGTCGGTCGTCGGACACGGACCCCTGCTTGACATGGATCCCCTAAGGGTTACGAACCGTCACGGGACACGGAATAGCCGCTGACCCCGTCCCTCCCCGCGTGACTGGGATCCTACGCGGGCCCGGATCCCCTGGGTACGGATCCTCCGCGGGATACAGATCCGCCGCCGGCGGTCACGAGCTCCGGGCCACTAACCAGCGCAACTCGGGCACCCCCCACAGGCAATGGCTGGCATGTCAGTGTGTCCGGGCGCCGGGCGCTCACTTTTCTGGCATTTTCGTGTGCTTAATTTGATGGGTGCCGAGATCAGAGCGGGAGCCAAGCAGAGTTTGTTAGGTTACGCCCCTGCCGCCCGGGGGCCTTCCATAAAAAACATGGTGTAATACCAACGAGGTCGTTAAGTCAAACAGCGCTGGGTGTCGATCATTTCGTCAATACCGTGATGCGGCAAACCATGGCAAAGGCTTCCCGTTGGTCTGTAAACACGAGCAACATCTCAGGGATGCGACCCGAGGCGCTGTGTCTCAATCCCACGTGGCCGGCAGCTGGCCGTCGAGACGAGGCCGGTCGCTGGAGCGCCGAAACGATCACGTCCGCGGCTCTGTGTCGACCTGCACTGCTCCCGGTCGCTGTCGTCAGGTGCGCGCTGTGGCGACGGTCGATTCCTGGCGTGGTCAGCGGGCGTCTTCGACCGGCGCATCGCCCCCGCCGTGCCCGGGCCGTGCTCGGGGCGTGCTGGCGTCACGCTCGCGGCGTGCTGGCGCCGTGGCAGCGGCCGAACAATGGCCGTCGGGCGCGGGCTGGCCGCGCCGCACGCCGAGCGCTGACGGCCGCCGTCTGTTGCAGCCTGGAGCTGGGCGGCAGCCTGTACTGCCCGAGCATGGCCGAGACGGAGCCGCCGCCGCCGGCCGCCGCCGCCGGCTCGCCGGCCGCCGCCCGGCCCGTCAAGGAGTGCGGCGTGTGCGGCGACAAGGCGCTCGGCTACAACTTCAACGCCATCACCTGCGAGAGCTGCAAGGCGTTCTTCCGCCGAAACGCGCTCAAGACCAAGGTCAGTGGCGTGGAGAGGCGTCGTGAGACATTGAGGGGGCGGGGATGGCGCGCTCGTGTGGGTAGTGGCGTCATATCGAGGGGATTCTACACTGAGAGGGATTGTACACTCGTCGTTAAGCCACTTCGTCGATGGCCGTGCGGCGATCATTTCCGCGGACGGCTGGCCGCCGCCTGAACCACCGTCAGACAGCGTCGGCGGCGGCGGTGCCGGTGGTTCATGCGAGTGACGCCCACCACGTGTGCACCCCCGCACACCCGCCCCCGCCTTCGTCGCCCCGCGCCCGGCCGACTTCCGGTGGGCCGTGAGCGACTGGCAACACTGGCGGCGGCGGCGGCGCCGGCCGTGCGGTGGGAGGCTGGCGGCCGGCCGGTGCTATCGCGGCTCGTCTCTCATGAGTCTGCGCCGGCCGCCGCTGATACCAGTATCGGTCCGGGCCGCCTTGGACCCTGACCGTGGCCGGACGGACGCCGCGATACGGCCGGAATGGGTCAGCGCGGCGGCGGGGCCACCCCGTCCGTCGCATGGTGGTTGTGGTGGTTTGGCGTATAGGAGCGCGTCGACATCGGTACCGTTTGGCGTCCGCGGCCTGTGCTGTCACCCAGCCTACCCCGCCCCGACCTGGTCTTCATCCAGCCCATTGGCGAGGGCAGAGTGAACTGGACGGGGGTGGGGGAAGGGGGGAGAGGGGGAGGGGGCCGTGTGGTTATGTTGTAGAAGTAATTTAGAGTCCAAATACCCGAGCAACCAGTCACCGTCAGCACATCTGTCCTTCCCCCAGTCCGATCCGGGCACTGGCATACCCTGTCGCACACTCACCCAGTCCAGGGGCTGCACGGTGCTCTTATCTTCCCCGTGTCCGGGCTGTTCCCGTTCTCAGCCTGTCCTGTGCCAGACCCACTGTCTCCCCAGCTCGCGCGCCCCTCCCCCTCCCTAACCCGTCGTCACACCGCCCGGTCCGCACGCCGACATCCCGCGCAGCCACCATTCACACCGCCCGGTCCTCCCGCCGACATCCCGCGCAGCCACCATTTACACCGCCCGGTCCTCACGCCGACGTCCCGCGCAGCCACCATTCACACCGCCCGGTCCTTATCTTGCCTCACGGACCCCCGCGCACCTCCCATCCCTCACCGCCCCCCCCCCCCCCCATCAGCGCGCCGCCTGCAGAGCCGTGCCCTGACCCGTGTGCGGGACTCGGGTCGCTCGGCGTCCCTCCCGACCCTCGGCTGGCGTACACACACGTGTCACTCGGTGCCCCATCGTACCCTGGTTAGGGCATTAACCCGGATTTGGTGTGGCGGATCTCTGCCGGGCGGCTGTCGGGTGCGCCCGCCGCCTGGGCATTGGCGATGCAGTCGGCCGCCCCGGCTAGTAGCGGCCGCTCGACGGTCGACTCTCGGCGGCTGTTTACTGCCGGAGCTGCGCCGCGGCAGATACGCGCCGGTCATGGTCCGCTCCGCGGCGCGCCGACATGCGGGTTGATGCCAGGGAAGAGCTACGGCCGCTGATAGCGGCAGCCCAGGAACACGGGGATCGCGACTGCATGGCAGGCTTATCGCGGACTCTGCACCTCGTGACAGGTTTATCGCAGACTCTACACCCGAAGTGGAGCTTGCAGGGACTCGGACAGCTGCCGTGATGCCGGACCTCTCTCAGTCAACAGGTTTCAGGAGTCGCTAGAATGAGTCATTGCCAGTATAATTATGATTGGCAGCGTCTAGAGCGGTCCAAGTGCGCGGAAGTCGTGTTGCGTGTGCGCTCAGGCTCAAGGTGTACTGGTCTCAGGTTGAAAGGCACGAGCGTATTTTGTGCCGGCGTGCGGAGCTTGCGCGAAACTTACGCACGAGGTCAGTCGGTATTTTCCAAAGGCAAAAAGGCCTAAGAACCATTAGTTAACATAGCACTTATGCCTTTTTGCCTTTGGACGGCAGAGCATACCCGGATCTCTCCGGCCAGCATCTCGGTCCTTCGCTCAACATCTCTCGGTCCCTCCGCAGCATCTCTCGGTGCCCCGGTTAGTGTCTCTCGGTGCCCCGGTTAGCGTCTCTCGGTCCTTCGGCAGCATCTCTCGGTCCTCCGGCCAGCGTCTCTCGGCCCTACGGTCAGCATCTCTCGGTCCCCCGGCCAGCGTCTCTCGGCCCTACGGTCAGCATCTCTCGGTCCCCCGGCCAGCGTCTCTTGGCCCTACGGTCAGCACCTCTCGGTCCTCCGGCCAGCGTCTCTCGGTTTTCTGGCCAGCATCTCTCGGTCCTCCGGCCAGCATTTCGGTCCGCCGGCCAGCATCTCGCAGTCCTCCGGCCCGGCTGGTTCTGCTCTCTCACCAGTTCCGTCCTTTTGGAGCGGATCATTACGACCATGCTCCGCGAACTGTTCAGTAAGTCCACTGTACAGAGCCTCAGCCATTGCGCCAGGCTTTGATCCATGTGACGTCGGCCGTACGAATCTCATGCTCGAGCTGTCTGTGGTGCCGATCGACTGGGCAACACTGGCGCCACCCTGCCGCTGACGCCGGCCCGCCCGCCAGCAGGTGTTCCGCTGCCCCTTCAGCGACAACTGCAGCATCGACGTGGTGACACGCCGCTTCTGCCAGAAGTGCCGGCTCAAGAAGTGCTACACCATCGGCATGAAGAAGGAGTGGATCATGACGGACGAGGAGCGCAAGGTCAAGCGGCAGAAGATCGTGGAGAACCGGTCGCGCAAATCTGAGCCGGGTGGCCGCGACGGCGCGCCGCAGGGCTCGCCCTACTCGGCCGACACGTCGCCGGCCGCCTGGCCGCCGCACAGCCCCGTCTCGCCGGGCCGATACAGCCTGGCGTCGCCAGACGGCGCGCCGCCGGCCGCGGCGCCACCTGCGGCCGAGGCCGCGGCCGAGGCGGGCCGGCGCCGGCGCGCCAGCGACGACTCGCCGCCGAGCCGCGCGCACCGCGCCATCCAGGTGCCCGAGTCGCCGCCGGAGCCGGCCGCCTCCATCGATGACGGGTGAGTGCAGCCGCCATGCCCGCCGTCGTGCGGGCTGGTCGTCAGTCGGAGGAGGCGGGCGTCCCATGTCGACAGGCGTGGCGCCCCCGTCCGATGGTTGGTGTGATGTGCGTATGGCTCAGCTCTCCTATCTACAAAGCTGCAAATGCACCGCTAAATGTGAAGATTTTGAGTTTTTGTGTCTTTGCCCCATCCCCACCCGCCCCCATTTACAACAGCGGTGTTGCTGCTCCCGCCCCGGGGCGTGCCTTTCATGTGTGCGCTGCCAACCTAGAAATGTCCATATGCTGCTAATGCCCGTTTCCGCAGAAGGTGACATGGTTGAATGCTTTATTTGTTTCGCGTCTTATATGAACCCTGCTCGGACTAACAGTAACGAACTCCAAAAGCGTAGGGCGAAGCACATAAAAACTGAGGGAGTGCTATGAAGTGTTACAGGCTCACCAGCGTGTCGCTGGATACGTTTCACAACTGTTATTGACTAGCATATTCTTTTGCTGCGCGGTGTGGTGCACACAGCAAGAGATGGGCGCCATTTGCCGTTCATCTAGACGGTACGTGGCGCCAGAATATGATACATGCAGCCAGATCACTTCCAAATCTCAAGCCTAGTACTCGTTTCTATCTTCCATGTGGCATGTCTGGTGCTGACCCGTGGCGTTACCGGCCGCAACAGACCGGCGTCATCTCCACCTGGAGGTCGGCGCCCGGCCGCGCCGGCCCCGCTCACGGGCAGCTGGCCGCTCCGCAGGTCCATCAACATGAGCACCATCCTGGGCAAGGCGCTGCGGGCCGAGTTCAGCGACACGCAGCTGCGCGAACCGGTGCTGCCGTCGGGCGCGCTCAACGCCGCCGAGTGGACCAAGATCCAGGAGCTACAGGAGGCCGAGCAGGCGCTCATGGCGCCGCTCAACGAGGACAACCTGTTCGTGGTGCGTGACGCGGGGGGCGGCGGGGCGCGGGCTGGGCGGTGGGCTGCTGCCGGCCGGCGGCTGTGTGGGCGCTGTCCGTGTGCAGGGATTGGGCGCCGTTTGCTGTGGTGGATTGGGAGAGGCCGGGGCTGAGAGCAGCGCGGCGCCGGCCTTGCTGTGCATGTTGACTGCATGGAGAATCAAGTTTGCTCTCAAGCGTAGCAGGCAAACACAGCAGGGATGGGACATTTGGTGACGCCGGTGATGCCGTTGCAGAACCTGGTGAACACGGACCCGTCGCTCATCAACGTCATCAACCTGTGCGACATCGCCATCCGGCGGCTGATCAAGATGTCGAAGAAGATCAGCAGCTTCCGCGGTCTGTGTCAGCGCGACCAGATAGCGCTGCTCAAGGGCGGCTGCACGGAGCTCATGATCCTGCGCAGTGTCACCACTTACGACGCCGAGAACAACAGCTGGAACGTGAGCACAGGCCATCGCGCGCGCGCGCCTGTGCTACACGCTGACGGACGCCGTAGGCGGGGACACTTCCAAGGCACCCGACAATTGGGATGTGAATGCGCTTGGTCTGTTAGGGGTTAGGATAATGTAGGGTGTGGAGGCTGTTAATGTGATCTCATTTGTCGTCTTGGGACTATCGATATTTTTTATTCCAGCGGATGTGCATCTCGGCAGGCTCCTGCAATTACCAGTTCTGGGGTAAATTATCTGCCATATAGTGTGTTGTAGACTTCCAACGTTGTGCGACGATCGTTTTCAGGTCCGAAACTCCTGTCAGCCCGGAAAAGCGGCTCTGGGGCTGATGAGTCAGCTCTCTGTCGTGGCCGTCCGGTTTGACCCGTAGCCGTATTGTGGCTGGTGACCGGCAATCGCTGGCAGCCTCCCCCCCCCCCGCGCGCCGTCGCTCGCTCGCCCCGCCCACGCCTCGCATCTGACCAGCGTCCGCTTCCGCCGCCCGCAGATCCGCGCCAACGAGACGGACTACACCAGCATCAAGCTGAACGTCCTGAAGAAGGCGCCGTACGACGTGTACGAGGAGCACAAGCAGTTCAACCGCACATTCAGCAGCCGCTGGAAGTCGGACTCGTACATCATGGGCATCATCAGCGCCATCACGCTGTTCTCGCCCAGCCGACCCAACCTGGAGCACGTGGACGCCATCACACTGGAGCAGGTGGGCTGGCGGGTGGCGGGTTGACCGGACTGCGGTGTGACGGGTGCGGGAGGGGTCTGTGCTGCTGGCGTGGAGCAGGGGTGCGGCGTCCCGTCCCGTCCAGCGATTTCTGGTTCCATCCAGGCTATCGTATGCTGGTGTATGTGCGCGCGTGGGAGAATGCGTCCGAACATTGCTCGCTGCTTCGGCTTCCCCGATTGGAATTGTTGCAACGGCTGAGACGTGTTGCGTCTCTTGAGTCCGTTCCCAGCACTAGCCTTTTGATGAGCAGAATGTTACCCTTGACGGTGGTCCTCCGCATACCGTAGCGGGATAACACGCCTACTGGTACTGTAGCTGACTGTTTCACAGTTAGCACTTCGCGGACTCCACAGTGCAGCCACCCGCTTCGAAGATGTGTTTTCCCCTCATCGTCATTGACGTGTTCGGTTCCCTTTTTATCCGTTATTTGTGCGCTCGCTTCCTCGCATCAATTGTGCCATGTCAAGAGGCTTTGCGCACCATGTTTTCTCCCAGGCGGTGACCTCGTCCTCAGCCTGACATGTATATGACAGTGTTCGTACAGTTTTTGTGTAGACCAAAAATATCCCAATCTCATCTTAACTTAAGTGAGGCGAAAATGTTGATTGCTGAAAGTGACTAGCCATGGCGGGTGCCGTTTGACTGCAATATTGACAGTTTTGAAATGTTGACCTCTACTGATCGTGCTGTTACGGTACGGCGGGAAAACCGCCATCAACTGGCAGCACCACTGCAAAGTCTGCCACATAGTAGATGTCCAGACTACATGTGGCATGTCCATCCTCTCATGTGATTCCATGTCAAAAGTCAAAACTTTCCGGCATTGTCACAGCGTAAGGATCGAACTCGCGAAAAAGTGCAATATGCTATCAAAGGAGAGCTTTCTACGCATGGGATTTTAACATGGCCCGTTCGTGTTTGGTCGGTTAGCACGGTCGTTTCGATCCGGAAGTCGGCCGCCAGTGCTCGTGGCAGCGCTCAGTCTGCCGTGTGTTGCCGTTACTCGTCAGTTAGATCACCGCCTCTGTGCCCAGCAGTCTTGCCGTTCGTAACTGCATATTCTGCCGTTCTGTCGTGATTCGCTCAGGTCCGAACTCTGTAGGCGCGACTTGACCTCCGCGGTCGGCGCGCCCGAAAACCCCAATCAACAACAAGAACTCTGCTCTGGCCCGCCGCGAGTCGTGCCAGTTGTGGCTCTACCGCGCGCCGTTTCGAGCAACACCGTCGTGTTTTACCAAGGGTCCGATCAGTCGTAAGCCTACCCTGTCGTGCGTGGCGTCATGCCGGTGGTAGCCCTGTCCGTGCCGCCAGCACTGGTAGCAGTCGCAGCCGAGCCGACAGCCTGTGCCGCGGTGTTGGTGACGCGGCCGTGTGTCGTCAGGAGTCGTACTACTACCTGCTCCGCCGCTACCTGCTGACCACGCGCAGCCCGTGCGAGGCGCGCTCAGAGTTCCTCAAGCTCATCAAGAAGATGGAGGAGCTGCACCGGCTCAACGAGGACCACATCAAGATATTCATGGATGTCGACCCGCTGCACGTGGAGCCGCTGCTGATCGAGATTTTTGACCTCAAGTGCGGGGAATCGATGCGCACCTTCTCGGCGCCGCCGTCGGCCGAGCTGCCCGAGCCGCAGATTTGAGCGGCCGCCGCGCAGACCGGCCGAGTGACGGGCCTTCGGCGCGCCGCCGCCGCGGTTGTAGTGATAGAGTTCCGCCGAGCCGGAGTGATTTGTTACGTAGTGGAATATTTTACCCGTCGGCGGAGAGTGAGGCAGTGGCCTGCGTTTTAGCCTATTGCTCCTATAGGAAGTGGCGCAGGATACCGCGACGGTGCTCCTAGCACCGTGCCGCGCGCCGTGCGGGCGCGCCGAGATGGGGTGGAGCAGCAGCGGATGGTCGCGGAGGCTGAAGTGCCTCGCGTCGACGCCAGGCGGCGCGATCGGCCCCTCGCTCGCGAGGCCTGGGCCCGGTTGGCACAGTCACCCTGGCCGCTGCAGCCGGCCCAGCGGTGTCGCGCTGGGTATGGACGATGTCATTGCAGCGCCGCTGGCTGCAGGCCGGGCCGGGTGTCGCAGGAGCTGTGGTCGGGGATCGGCGCGAGGGCCAAGCTCGTCCTCAGCGGCGGCGGTCGGCCGCCGGGTGGGAGCACGTCTGTGATGGGTGCTAGTCGTGCGCGGGCGGCCGCCCCCGGACGGCGCCGTAGGCGGGGACGGCCGCACAAATGCCTGTATGCGGGCCAGCTGCCAGCCGGCATCGGCTGACCACACATTCAGAGTAATGAAACGCAATTACATGTTATAACAGTGGCATGCGTGTGTATTCTACGCCACCGGATACGTGATAGAGGCCGCGGGCCGCTTCATACAAGGCGCGTCATTCGGCGGAAGACTCGCGTCCGCGGCGCTGTGTTAGAAGACCACGCAGAACGAACACCTTACGGGATTACGTCAGCCCACGTACACTCGGGGAAAACAACAGTCTGAGCAAGCGAGTCGGTTTGTTACACGAACCACACCTTGTCAGCCCACGCCTAAAGGGCGGGCACGTCTATGGCCGAGATGCTACGGGTAAGCCGAATCAAAAGTCTAAAGGATCAATCGATATATTGGCTCAGCCTGGCCCGAAGGCCACTAGATCTCTCCGCACACTCTTCTAGTGCACAGGCCAACAGTTCGTAACACTTCCGGCCGACTGAGACAGCCAAGGGTCGTCTCCGAGTCCAATTCAGCCTGGCGCGCGCGGCGTCACCCCGGTCGTCCGGTCGGCGTCGGCTCACACGTGCCGCATGAATGGCGTCCTCTTGCTGTGTGGGTCGCGCGCCTGGAACGGCGCTCCGACGGGTCCCCCGCCGGGCGACGGTGCTGCCCTCTTCACGGGCAGTCGCCGCCTCCAGCAGGCGACAGTGCCGTCCTTTCCACGGGCGGCTGCCGCCTCCAGCAGGCGGTGGTGTCACCCTCTTCACGGGCGGCCGCTGCCTCTAGCAGGCGACGGTGCTGCCCTCTTCACAGGCGGCCGTTGCCTCCAGCAGGCGACGGTGCTGCCTTCTGCACAGGTGGCCCCGTTCTCGAATAGGCGACGGTGCTGCCCGTCGGCGGGCGGCCGCCCCCCCTGGCTGCACCGTCAGCCGCCAAGTGGCGCCTGTAAACAGACGCGTGTTAGGCTGGTCCCCGGCTAGGGTGGCGGCCGACGGAGCAATGGCCCGGTTATGAAGCAGGGCGCCCGGCCCGTCCCGAGGTTAATCGCGCCGGACAGTGTCGGAAGAGCGCGTGGGCCCTCCGTCGGAGACGAGACATGCCATGGTGACGCGGCAGGCGCAGATCCGGCGGGCGGCTCAGGCTCGCCAGCGACACAGTCATTCTCAAGAGCGGCAGTCGCGCGTCGGATGCAGAACAGCAGCGAAGGGCGGTCGGTCGGAGGGAAGAACCGCCGTCCAGCGGCGGCGGGAAAAATAGAGAGAGAAGCCAAAGTACGGAGTCGATGAGAAGAGGTCAGTGTCCCCGCAAGCGGGAAAGTCACAGCGTCGCTGTCACGTCTGTCAGAAGCCCCCAGTTACGGCGGGCTGAGAAGTCGCCTCTGTAGAAACCCGGAGGAGGACAGTCAGGTAAGTTTGAGGGACAGCGGGCGAAGAGCAGAGCGGAGAGAGAGAGAGAGAGAGAAACAGAGTGCGGCAAGTCAGGGCGCCGTCGGTCGAGTCTGGCGTGTCTCAGTCGGTCTTGAGTCGCTGCCCGGTCGGCGGCGGCCGGCGCCGGACCCACCTCGACCGCCGGCTCACGTGGCCTGTCAGGTGATCACTACAGCCTTGTGCACGCAGACGGCCTCCTCCATCAGCGCCGGCCAGATGTACGTGTGCACGGCCGGCTGGGCGGCGTCCGACGCCTGGTGGCGCACGTGCTGGTCCGCGCTGAACGTGCGCGCCTCGTACTCGATCCGACAAGGTGGCATCTGGCGGCGCGTTAACGGTTTAAGGTCAGGTGGACGGCGTGCGGTGTGCAGTGCTGCCCGGCACTTTTGCTTGTGTGTCGGGGGGGGGGGGGGGGGAGGAGGGGACGCGAATTGCCAGGGTTAGACGGACAACGGCAGCCATAGAACAGCGAAAAAGTAGTATGCCGGACGATAAAAAGAGCGTGCCAACGAGGAAAACAGCCAGCGGCCGTCAGCCGAGCCATCTGACTAACCGTGCGGCCGGCCGGCAGCCCGTCCCTGCTGCCGTCCCTGCTGCCGTCCCTGCCGCCGTCCCTGCCGCCGTCCCTGCCGCCCGGTCCCCGTGTGCCCGCCGGCTGACCTGGTTGGTGAGCCCCCGTGTGCCCGCTGACTGACCTGGTTGATGAGCCCCGTGTGCCCGCCGACTGACCTGGTTGATGACCCCCCCGCACGCGCGCCGACTGATCTGGTTGGTGAGCTCCCGTGTGCCCGCCGACTGACCTGGTTGATGAGCTCGCGTGTGCCCGCCGACTGACCTGGTTGGTGAGCCCCCGTGTGCCCGCCGATTGACCCGGTTGATGAGCTCCCGTGTGCCCGCCGACTGACCTGGTTGGTGAGCCCCCGTGTGCCCGCCGACTGATCTGGTTGGTGAGCCCCTGTGTGCCCGCCGACTGACCTGGTTGATGAGCTCCCGTGTGCCTGCTGGCTGACCTGGTTGATGAGCCCCCAGGCTAGGCGGACGCTCTCCTTGACGTAGCTGAGTAGACCCTCGGTGCTCCTCAGGGACGGGTAGTCGTACAGCGTCGCCCAGATCTGGCTGCACACCTCCTGCCGGCCGGCGCGGATGTGACGTCAGTGAAGCCGCCCGGCTGGCCAGTCGGTTCACTCGCAGTACAAAACCCTGACGCTTACATTTGAACAGGGATGGGGGATTTATGCGCCGTATGAAGTCTGGTGTTGATGTTGGTATCTTATGCATCAGGCACCAAACAAATGCCGCTGTCTCACGTGTCAAACAGGCTAAGCAAACTGTCCCAAAAAACAAAACTTCAAAGTGGCAAGCTTTACAAAGCCTCAAAGCTGTGAAATTAAACACCGAGCCATATACCCTGCACCACGCGACAGTGACCCCGCGCCACCCCGACCGGACCGCAGTGTACGACCCGGAACTGCTGCCACGCGCCAGCACCTGCCACCGCCCCGTGCCCGCCAGCGCACACTGCCGGTGGGTAAGGCGCCTCACCTCGACGTTCTTGGAGAGGTCGTACGTGTCGACCGTCTGCTGGAGGAAGGCGGTGAGCGTGCGTTCAAGCTGGGCGCTGCGCTCGCTGGCGGCCGGGTCGCCGCGGCCAGGCGGCAGCGGCGCGGCCGGCGCCGGCGGCGGCGGCGGGATCTGCAGCTGGCGCCGCACCGTCTCCCGCACCGCCAGCTGTCCGCTCGTCACCGACCGGAACGCTAGCTGGAACGCGGCCAATCCCGGGTCAGAGCGCACGGGCGTGGTCAGGTGAGCGGCGCGGGCGGTGGACGCGGACAGCTGGCGGTCTCCTGGCGACGCTGCGGGCGGCACCCGTCGAGGGAGCGACGGGTGCCGCTGTCGCCGGAGAGGCACTGTAGCCGAGTAGGTGACTGTTGGCGATCTCTAGCGATCACGCCAAAACATTCTAAACAACTCGTTAAAATAGCGCCCGAATTGCAAATTACAAGCGAACGCGTCTACCACGGCTACCAGGTGGAAATGCTGCTCGGTCTCGGCTTGTGCTCCGACGGCTCGGCGGGTTGTGTGGATGCGTCGCCCGAGAAGAGCGACAACAACAATATCGTGACTAGCTGCCGTGTCATCATGAGGCAGCACGCCGGACGGGCGCCGGGGTCACCTTGGTCAAGCGAGCTAACCTCTAATGCGCCGCCGGACTACCGTCGACCGCCCCGCCATTCAGCACGCACTCTCGAGTATCGCGCTCTGTGGTCAGTAGGCAATAGCCTCGGCTCGGATGGCAGAGATAATGGTGATTGGCTTACGGGCCGGCGGCCAGGCGGCTCAAGTCGCCGAGAGAGTCTGCGGCCGGTCGTTAGTAGTTATGGTAACGCGCTCACAAAGGATTACCGTGCACCGTCGCCCACTTACCCGCGCCGTGAAAAGGCGCACTGGAAGGTAACTGTACAAAGCCGCCGCTCTCTCCCTCTCTCCCTCCGCCCGTCTCTCCTTCTCTTTCACTATCACTATCGCCGGTGTTTTGACGAGATGCCATGGAGTGAACAGCCCTCCCATGACGGAACCGACGCTCCGTCACGTGGCTTCACGACGCGCCACGCTCAGCGTCGCCATTAATGAGTTATGCATAGTAAACAAATCCAGGAGGTGACGGCGCCTGACGGCAACAGGCTTTCTAAGCTTTCACGTGCCAAAACAATCATTCACCGAACGGCAACTCGATCACTCTTCTACGACAGTTCCGGTCTCCAAACGCCTCGATCACAATCCGACTCGATTACCCTTTTACCTCGCACTCTCCCCGCCCCCGGACACAGCGGCCACACCTCTGCCATTTTCTGGTTGCGGACGCCGACAACGGCCCCTCTCCCCCTCTCTCCACCGCTGGCGCCCTCCACCTCACTCCACTCGCCGCACGTGGCCGGAGCACCGACGCGCTCGGACGCCGACAACGGCCCCTCTCCCCCTCTCTCCACCGCATGGCGCCCTTCACTCCACTCGCCGCACGTGGCCGGAGCACCGACGCGCTCGGACCCCGAGCATTGCCGCGCGCCGGACGTGGGCGGGAGTCTCGTGAGAGCGATCCCGGATCGTCGGGACCCTTCGTGCCCATTTAGCGTGGATCCTGGATCCTTGAATATCAAGCGTTTGAGGAGATTTTTGAGCACATTTTTGTGAAAATCCATGGAAAACCTTGAACAAAATGCGTGTAAAAAATCCTAGGCCCTAGTGGATCCTTGAATTGCTGAAAGCATCTACCGTCCTTGGAAAAGTGAATACTGAAATACTTTCAATCATCCTTCGGCCATTGCGAGATTTTTGCCTCATAACAAGCAGTGCAAATTTGTCACCGAGCAGGCGGAAATCTGCATTCTTTGAGGTAGCGCCTAACTTGCACGAGCTTGGCCTTCTATAGTGGATCAAAGAAAAATAGAGTTCTCTACATAGTGCATCGAATGTTTGATGTCAGTGGCAACACACCAACCTGCCATAGGCTGGGAAATAGCCACTTGTAACGATGAGGCTGAAAGCGCGAGTGGAATAGCTCGCCCTCGCCTCACTTCAGGTAACAACTTCCAGAAAATTGATCCGCAGAACTGTATCGTGGGAAAAAAAAACTGAGATCGACGATGAAGATGACTTTCGGATCATAGAAGACCCTTCAGCAAAATAAGGTCATGGGCCTTGGATCATCAAACACCTGTCAGTAGAAATGACAATGGTTCAAAGGTCCCAAAAGCCCCTCTGATAAAAATGTCATATCGCTGTCGGAAGATTTGAGCTGGTACCCGCGGTCCACGATCCATATGCTGCGTTCGGCTCCTTAGGCCACCGCACGAGTCTGTCCTGTACGTACCACAACCACGCTGAAGAGCAGCTTGGACTTCAGCTCCTCCGAGTTGCGCAGCTCGGGCAGCGAGTCGAGCGCGGCCATGGCCTCGGCGCGGCCGTGGGTGTACAGGCTGCCGTAGCGGCGGATCAGCGAGCTCGATCGGTTGTCGATGTCGATGCTGGTGACGTTCTCCAGCCGCGAGCCGACCGCCGGCTCCGGCCGCTGCTGGTGCTCCGACAGCCTGCCGACAGGGCCGGAGCTCGCTGCAGCCGGTCCGAACTTCGCGGCCCGAGCCACGGCGTTCGTGAAGCAGGTCACATGCCGTGATCGACGAGAGCCTCAACTTGGCCTAACAAACACCAAAGCGTGACACGTAGACAAACTCATGTACGTGGCTCGGCAAGATGAAGCAAAGCTGGTGCCCGGCCCTCCTACAGATGGAGTGTTAAAATAAGCCCAACAGACCGTAGGCAATGCAAGAAACGCGTCACGCGCCACCCTTGATTCAGCCGCCATCGCGAGGGCAGGCCGGACGGCAGGCGTTCACCTACTTGTGCTTGAGCTGGCGCTCGCGCTCGTTGCAGCGGCTGATGGTGAGCTGGGCGGAGCGCACTTCGCCCTGCAGCGACTCCACCTGTCTGCAGAGCTGGCCGTACTCCTTGCGCCGCTGCAGGGTCGTGGGGTCACCGATCGGCAGCAGGTGGCCCTTGGAGCAGGCTGTCTCCGCGTCTGAGCTCATGGAGTCCGCTGTGGGGCAGAGGAGGGTCAGAGGTCGGCTAGAGGCGGCGGGGAAGGGTCAGGGGTCAGCTGAGGGTGGGACAGGAGCAGTTCAGAGGTCTGTCCGAGGGGAGGGGTGAGGCAGGGATTCGGTGAGGGGGGCAGGGGAGAGCCACGTGTCTGATCTAGGGGAGGGGAGAGCCAGAGGTCCGCTGTTGGGCAAAGAAGGGCCAGCAGTGTGCTGGGGGGGGGGGGGGGGGGGCGGAGGCAGGAAAAAGTTAGAGGTTTGGTGCTGGGCAGGGGAGGGTCAGAGGTTCGCTGTTGGGCAGTGGGGGGGGGGGGGGGGTTCAGAGGCCTGCTGGGGGAAGGAGGGCAGGGGAGCCACAGGTCCGCTGCTGGGCAGGGGAGGGTCAGAGGTCGAGCACGGCCAGACGAACAGGGCATGGCCAGGAGCTGGGAATACAGCCCATGTGTTCGGAAGCCCACTGTATGAAGTGAATGAGTCAGCTCATCTCCAGGGCTACTCAGTAGTTTGCTGTGTGCTGTCGGGTTGGGGGGACGAGTTTATTGCCTTTAAAGTTGTTTGCTCTTTTTCTTAATTCCTTCCTCTTTTCTTCTCATCTTTATTCATGAATGTCATCGGCCAAGTGAGACTGTCTATTTAACTTGCATATGGGAACCCAGGAGTGCAGTTAAGTACGATACGAAATGCCGCTGTTCTCATTCTGAGGTATTCTCCAGACCACCATCAACCATATCCAGCACCGTCCTACACCGCGTGTCTTATTCCAAAAACAAGCGAAGCCGTAGCCTGGGGCCGACCTCACGGGACTCCAGTTTTGATTGAAGACTATTTTTCGGTGAACTTTGGCATTCATTAGCCGGCGCAGCATGGGCCGGAACGGCGGGAAAGCGGCCTGCCTGCTCTGACCCGGGCCCAGCGGCAGGTGCCCACCATTTGTCGGGCGCGCCGGCCGCCGCGCGCCGTTTGGGTCCGGGCGGGGCGCGGCTGCTCCGCTCGGAGCCAGCACCGATGGGGTAATGGTACCGCCCGCTGCTCCGGCGCGCCGCGTGCGGCCGGTCGGCGGGGGGTGAGCACTGGGCCACGTGCAGCGGGAAAGTGCAGCGAGCAGCGCAACTTAGTACGCATCTGCCTGGCCGAGATGACAGATATGGGATCGCGGTCTTGCAAAAGGTCACTTTTTGTGAATAGGCTGCGAGACGAGCTATTTTTAGTGGTCTGAGAAGTCAGTCGTAGGAGCGATACAACTGTTGCAACTGTTTTGATTGCTTACAAATGGTCCGTATCTAGAGCATCCGGAAGCGTCTAGCAGCCGGAGCGGCGGGCAGCTCCCCCTCGACCGTACCGAGAACCGGCGAACGCCAGCGGCGCCTCCCACGGCGCCGGCCCGCTGCAGCGCGGGGAATGTCTGCACCGGCCGGCCGATGGCGCGCAGTAGCGAGAACTGCCCTCGGCTGTGGGCCAGGCGGGCCCGGACGCGGCGAATCGGAGTCTGTCGTGGCGCGGCGGCGGCACAATGCCGCCCCGAATGTGGGACGGCAGTTATCGTATGCGTGGCTGTGCGTGTGATCAGAGCGGCGCCGAACGGGCCGTACAAGGCGCGGCCGGACGGCGCGCCCTGCTCTCCGCTGTGTCCGGCGGACGGTGACACGGTTCGGGCCAGGCTCCGGCCCGGCGCGGCCCGGCTGCGGGGTCTGAGGCAGGGGTGGCTGTCTGGGAGGAACCAGGCCGACTGTGAGGTTTGAGGCAGGGGTGGCGGTCTGGGAGGGACCAGGCCGACTGCGAGGTCTGGAGCAGGGGGCTGTTTGGGAGGGAGCAGACCGACTGTAAGGTGTGAGGCGGGGGGGGGGGGGACTATCTGAGAGGGGGTCAGGCCGACTGCTGCCGTAGCTGACCAAGCTGACTTAACTTATCCAGGTCACTCACTTGACCCGGTATTAGCCTGTCATTCCTCTGACCCAGCGGCCGTCCACGCCACCCGATTGACCGAGCGGCCACCCAGGTCACCAGCCCGACCCAACGGCCACCCCAGACACCCGTCTGACCCTGTACCTGGTCGGGTCACCTGTTTGGCGCGCGTGTTTACCGGGCGGCCGGGGAAACGGTGGGCAGTAACGGCCGAGGGCAGCACGAGCGCAGCCCGGCGCAGTGGCGGCGGCGCAATTTATCGAGGAAAGCAGGCCCGAAAACAGAGAGATTACGCGCGGCCGCTCGTACTTGCGGGCACGGAGAGCTGAGTTACAGCGCGTGGAGAATGGGTCCTGAAAACAGCGCCCTGCCGGCTGGCCCGGTTGTCTTCAGGAAAGCGTGATGAGAGATGGTGACGGCGGGAGGCCTGCGAGCCCGCACGTCCCGTGACGGCACCGACGAGGCAAGGCCAGCGAGCCGCGGACGGCTCTAATGTGGCGCAGACGGCACCGACGGAGAGGCGAGGCGAACCAGCCGCGGACGGCTCTAATGCGGCGCAGACGGCACCGACAGCGAGACGAGGCTAGCGAGCCGCGGACGGCTCTAATGCGGCGCAGACGGCACCAACGGCGAGGCGGGGCGAACGAGACGCGGACGGCTCTAATACGGCGCAGACGGCACCGACAGCGAGGCGAGACTAGCGAGCCGCGGACGGCTCTAATGCGGCGCAGACGGCACCAACAGCGAGGCGAGGCCAGGGAGCCGCAGACGGCCCTAATGCGGCGCAGACGGCACAGACATCGAGGCGAGGCCAGGGAGCCGCAGACGGCCCTAATGCGGCGCAGGCGACACCAACAGCGAGGCGAGGCCAGGGAGCCGCAGACGGCTCCAATGCGGCGCAGGCGACACCAACAGCGAGGCGAGGCCAGGGAGCCGCAGACGGCCCTAATGCGGCGCAGGCGACACCAACAGCGAGGCGAGGCCAGGGAGCCGCAGACGGCTCCAATGCGGCGCAGACGACACCGAAGGCGAGACGAGGCCAGGGAGCCGCATAAGTAAGCGGCGATGATTTTGGACGGTGAGGAGAGGGAGCCGCGGACGGCTCTAATGCGGCGCAGACGGCACCGACAGCGAGGACGAGGCTAGCGAGCCGCGGACGGCTCTAATGCGGCCAGACGGCACCAACGGCCGAGGAGGGGGGCGAACGAGACGCGGGACGGCTCTAATGCGGCGCAGACGGCACCGACAAGCGATAGGCCGAGGACTAGCGAGCCGCGGACGGCTCTAATGCGGCGCAGACCGGCACCAACAGCGAGGCGAGGGCAGGCGGAGCCGCAAGACGGCTCCAATGCGGCGCAGACCGGCACCCGAAAGGCGAGACGAGTGCCAGGGAGCCGCAGAAGTAAGGCGGGCGATGATTTTGGACCGGTGGGGAGAGGGAGCCGCGGACGGCTCTAATTGCGGCGGCAGTAACGGCGCGAGCCAGACGCATGGCGAGTCCTGGTGGCCCCATGCGGCGCATTTCTTCTCCTGTCCGATCCGGCGGGAGAGTTGAACAGTGCCGAGATGGAGAGGGCCTGGCCGGCTCAGGAGGTCCGTGACCGATCGGTATCTGGGGCCAGAAGTAGGATGCGCCGTGTGGCCTTTCGGGGACGGTAATATTTCACTTGAGTATATGTTCTGACACGAGTGTTGGAAAGTGTGCCCCCACCATTGTCGCCTTTAGAAATGTGCCTGTTCCGGATCTCCAGGAGGGGTTGTTTTGACAACAATCGTTTACGATCTTTTTGATATATTAGCTCAAATCCGATGCAAGCTTTCCAGCTGATGTGGGAAGATCCCTCGAATACTACCTGAAAGAAACACTACCTGCAAGAAAAAGTTCAGATGACTGCGACATACCTGACATACAACATAATTAGCCATCAGAAATGCGGAATATGTCGAAACAACCCTACCAGCGAAAGGATGTCTGCTAATATGACGCAAAAACACAAAAAAACAATTAGCGGTAATGTTGTGAATCAGTAAGTAAGCGGCGATGATTTTGGGGTCCGTGAATGCATTACTGCTTACACGGGACACTCAGTCACCCCACAGCATATTTCTGGAGATATTCTTACGGTGCTGGAATGTGAAGATGAATTATGTCATTTTTCAAGGAAAATAACCGTATTTAGTAGATTAGTCTGAACAAAGGGTTACCAACTGCGTGCTACTGACTTATGCAGGGTCATAGATTCCACCAGCAATACGTACATTGCGTATGTGGGAGCCTACTGAATTTGATCCGAATTACGCACATTTCTTGTGCGCAACGTTGCAAGCTGATTTTAGAAACACTTGTGCCACACTCGTTAAAAAGGTACCCTGTTGAATCATTTGGGTACACACTAGCTGCTGACAAGCAACACGCAAAGTATCATGATACTGGGTTTCACCACCATACTGGGTTTTAAGGCTTACATTGAGCAAAAATATTACTTCTCTAACTCACTTAGTTGTATCACACCAAACGAAATATATACGCACCCACATTTTATTTTAACGGGAAAGTCGCAACGTCCATAGCAGTAAATGGGCAAACCCCTTTAGTCCATTTGTTCCAGTCATCGCCAAGTATTAATGATTAACATTGAAAAAGTGAATCAACCACAACCCACCGGGTTCTCCCGTTCGGAAACTCACGCTCCTCAAGATTGCCCATTGATGCAGTACACCGGCATTGATTTAATCGTTGTGGTTAACGCCACGCTGGATGTCTCGGCGCAGCCAAGCTTCGTTGGAGCAGTCTTGATGCACGACTCTGTTCGTGGGGCAAGCAAGCCGCCATCTGATGCGAATCACTCTTATGCTGGTTGAAAAGACTTGGGCATTCGACATCATTTCTTACATCCCGCAGCTTGTGATCGTAACTAGCATTTTTGTTTTTAGAAAGTGGACTGCGCGAATTTGCCTGCAACTTTACAAAATGCTTCTGCAGCTTGGCAAAATGCAAATGCAAAATACTTCTGCGGCTTCTGATTTTGGACCATAGCTGAATTAGGGGAATATTTACCTCGGGCATTCGTGACGTAACGTTGCGTGGCGTGATACAAATTTATCTGTGTTATTCGAACAACACACCGGGGGCATTACGACACGTTCAAACCAATCGGGTAGGCAAGTCAGCGCTCAAAAAGTAACTGGCATGTATGCGTAGTGGATGCATTGGTCAAACCGCTGCTGAATCAAACAGGTATTGCGACAGAATCTACAAGAAAATAAATGGGATATCAAACAGTGATTACGATTGAATGTACAAACATAGGGCATAGGAAAACGTTATTCCGACAAAATTTAACTCGTTCTCAGGATATTACTGTAATTTTAGTTACGACAATACTTGACTAAAATAATTGGGAGTTAACTTGAATGGCCGATAGTTTTACATCTTTTGTTTACGAATTAAAGGCATACCACATAATATAGTATTTCTAATATTCAGGCTCTAAGTTTAGTGGATTTGCTATATAAAACACGGTATCCAGTTACACGTGTCGTTGCGCAACAATCGGCCGCCGTTTGTTTCTAACCCATTAAAACTATCGACCACCATTTGTATCTAGCGCAACAAGAACAATTGATCGCCGTTTGTTTGTGCCGCCATATGTCAGACGTCGCGCAGCTGGGTCGGGCTCTGGGTCGGGCTCTCCCCGGCGGTGACGGAGTCTGAGCGGCCAGCTCTCCCCGGCGGTGACGGAGTCTGAGCGGCTGGGTCGGGCTCTCCCCGGCGGTGACGGAGTCTGAGCGGCCGGCTCTCCCCGGCGGTGATGGAGTCTGAGCGGCTGGATCGGGCTCTCCCCGGCGGTGACGGAGTCTGAGCGGCCGGCTCTCCCCGGCGGTGACGGAGTCTGAGCGGCCGGCTCTCCCCGGCGGTGACGGAGACTGAGCGGCCGGCTCTCCCCGGCGGTGACGGAGACTGAGCGGCCAGCTCTCCCCGGCGGTGACGGAGACTGAGCGGCCTCTCAGGCGCCGCGTGGGGCATCAGCCGGAGATGGTATCGGGACTGGGGCGGCCGGCTCTGATGTCGCCGGCCCGGCCGGTCGGCGAAGAGCACAGAAGCGGCGCCTATGGGCGTCACCGGCGGCCCGGGACCGGACATGGACGGCGGACGGTTTGGCGTCCCTCAGCCCGACCTGACCTGGTGTGTGGGACAGAGACGGCCGGCCCTAGTGCAGTCTGACCTAGTACGTGGGACAAAGACGGCCGGGCCTGGTACAGTCAGGGCCGACCCGGACCGGCCTGACCCAGCGGGAGCCGATCGAGCCTGGTCCGGCCTGGTCCGACCCGGCGTGGCCGAGCGTGAGTCGAACGGACTGGGCCTGATCTGTCCTGGTGTCGCCCGATCTGTCCTGGTGTCGCCTGACCTGGCCGGACCCTGTTTAAATCGACTCAGCCTGCTCAGCCTGAGTAGGCTGGCCCCGAACCAGCCTCATATAGCACGATACAGCCGAGCCGGCACCTCGTCTGAAGCGCGTGACCACGGGCAAGTGTTGGTCGTGCCGAGCGTGAAGTCGGCCCTGAGCCCGGGATATCAAGTCGTCGTGGTGAAGATAATCGCATGCATTATTTATCAAGCGGGCATTGCAGCGGCCCGCCGTTGTCAATGAATTTATTTGGGTACCTTATCGCAGTCACGATGTTTCAGAGCCTGTTTTGAGTGAGCTGTTCCTCATAAGCCATGGGAAAGCTGACCTGGCCCGCCAGCATCCGACCTCGCCCAGGTCGGATCGAGCCTCACGACACCATAGCTCGGGCCACGGAACCGCCCTCGGCGGCAGCGTGAGATTCGCTGCTGAGTAGCTCACTCTGTCCAGATGAATTTTGCTTAGATTACTGTGTTGTTCAGGCAAGTTTTTTTGCAGATACCTTGATATTAAACGGTGAAACCAATATGATACCATTTCGAACCGAATTTGAAAAGTATAAATCAAACTCAGGCCATTTTGACAGCACCCTTGTTTGGCATTTCACATATGCTCGATTTGTTCATATATGTGGAATGTTGTGAACTGACTGGACAAGGTTCGGTTATTCGACTAGAAATGATTTCTGAAAGCTGAAGAAAGATGCGTTTTGTGGAAGGTTTCGCTTCAGTACACGTTCTGAGAGTTATAATAATACTAAGTATACGTAATACGTAATATATATATATATATATATATATATATATATATATATAATACGTAATACTAAAAGTTTAAGGCTGACAAACAAAGAACACACCGAGGACACAGATCCACCCTGACATCAATGGCACTACAGTCATCAGCCGTCAGAGCCTAACTCACAATCACAGTTATCTAGCGAAACGGTAAGCTGTTCCGTCCATCTAGCTGCACAATAATAGCCTTTCCGCCGCACGCGCACTCGTAATTATTCTCCTCGGCCTAGCTACCAGCCCAGCGGCATTGTCCTTGAAGTCATAGTGAAGAGTGGGGAATGTGGCACAATATCATTTCAATTTCCTCCCCTCTACATGTACCCAAGTTTCTTTTAGACAACGTATCACCATTGCGTTATTTCTAACACGGAAGCATGTCGGCACTGCCACGTATCACACCAGGCAGGTATGCGGGCATAAACCTTAAGGAGCTCGGGGGTTGCCACAGGCGACCCAGCCGGCACTCACCGCTCGAGTTGGAGACGCGCTTCTCGACCTCCTTGCGCTTGCGCTGCCGCTTGGCCTCCAGCTGGGGCGAGGTGTCGTCGGTGGACTTGTCGCCGACGGAGCCGGTGTCGGAAGATGGCGGACTGCTGGCTGGCAGGCTGCCGGCGGCCGAGGCGGCCGCGCTGAACGCCGGGATGGCGCCGCGGAACTGGGCCGGCGTGGCGCGCACTGCAGCGACACATGGGGGGGCTGGTCAGACTGGAGCAGGGGCTGGTCAGACTAGGGCACGGTTTGGTCACAATACCCCGCGGTCCATTCACACTAGGCGAGTGTAAGGTCTGGTCAGACTCGAGCAGGGCCGGTCGGAACGGGGAGGGTGTGCAGTTTGATCGCACTGGGAACGGGGAGGGTGTGTAGTTTGATCGCACTGGGAACGGAGAGGGTGTGTAGTTTGACCGCAATGGAAACGGGGAGGGTGTGCAGTTTGATCGCACTGGGAACGGGGAGGGTGTGCAGTTTGATCTCACTGGGAACGGGAAGGATGTGTAGTTTGATCGCGCAGGGCCAGTCAAGGTAATTTAGCAGACAGCAGCGGTGGATACGGTCGGGACTGACAGGATCAGGCGTGCGGAACGATCAGACTGGTAAGTGATCACGGTCTAATAAGACTGGGACAGGAAAAAAACATCTGTAGCATGATCAGACTTTGGGAGTTCGTACCATTGGACCCCTCGGAAAGAAATAGTAGAGAAATTGTGAAACAGAAAGGCCGTCAAAGGAAAAATGCAGCCTACCTTTACCAACTGAGTGGCACCACCTCATTTTGTAGGATCGCAAAAAGAAAAAGGCTCTACCAGATGCTTGCACGCTCTCTGGCCACGCCGGGATGCCTCGTAAAAACCTTGCCCTGGAGCTCGTTAGGCGAGCATCTCGGCTTCGCGGGCCAGCCTGGTCGCACGGCTGACCGCATAGCCGCGATAGCCGCACACCTGGTACGCTGGCGGCCGCGGCGCGGGCTGGCGGAATACGAGCACGCAGGACGTGGTGAGCTGCGATGCGTGGTGGTAGCACGCACGAGCACACGCAGCGTCAGGCCACGTTTCGGGCGAGGGTTTACAAAAGCCGACTGATCCGCCACGTTGCTTAGGAAATCATATGCCACGCATGTCATGGGTTTTCGGTGCGTTTGTGTGTGTGTGGTTTTTTTGGTATTGAACGCATGCGACATCGACACACTGTAAACCCCAATTATCTTCATAATCTTTTGTTTGCATTTGTTCGAGCACTTCACTATCGTGTATTACTAATACAGGTTCTTGTAGCTTGTGCAGTTAGCACTAATTTGGGTCATTGCCTGCCCTGTGCTAACCTCGAATGACGTTGTTCTACTTGCCCATACTACTCTCGGGTTTACGTTCGACGTGTATGAGTAAGCCCCAGACGACGATTGCTATCATTGATACACGATCATCGAAGCTATCTAAACACCTCACGTAGATAATTACGTCAGATGGTATCGATGAACTGAAACCATAGAAAGTTTCCAACGATATTTCAGCTGGCTACAAGCGACAGTTTTCACCAACTCGGTGAAACGTTTTGAATCAGCTTTCTGACACGCGTATGGCTAATTGCGCGGCACATTACGGCTCTCCGAGCTCCACGAGGCATGTGCACACAAACACTAACACGGTCGTCAGCCTTTGTTTACCCTGGCTTCAAACCAAGCGAAGTGCGAGTAGCCTCACAGCATACACTCGGGGTGCGGCAGCGGGATTAGTGGAACCGAGGACGGCACCGGGGCTGGAGAGCGAACGCCTGAGGCTGACGGCAGGATACGCCAACATCCGGTGACAGCGCCGGGCCCAGCGCTGGGCGGACACCGGATCCTGTGCGGCGCTGAGGATCCCGCACCGAGCGGGCGGGCGCTGACCGCGTCACCTGTCTCCACTGGCCGATTCCTCCTCCGGGAGCCACAAAAGCAAGCTGGGGACAGGACGCGCTCATCTCGGAAGTCACGGTCGCCCGATGCCGGGCAGGGCGAGGTAGAGGAAGGGCACCGGCCGGACCCGTCCCCCATCAGCGCCTTTCACAGCGCGCCGCTCGCTGACCGATCGCGCCCCGGTGAGTACTCGTTAGCCGTATCAGAGCTCCCCGCGCATCGGGGTCACGGCGGCCGGCGCGCGCCGCCGAGAGGCCGGCCGGGAAAGCGGTGGCCGCCGGCTCTGCAGCAGCCTCTCTGGGTCAGCCGCCGCCCGACGTCACAGGTCAACGCTCGGCGCGTCTCGTTAGTCGCCGCCGCCGCACCAGCTGCACGCCGAATCGCGGATTCTGGCCGACGGCCGGGAAAGCGGGCCGAAGGTCAACAGCGGACGGCCGATCGGCCGGCGTCGGCGGGATTTCGCCGGGGTGTGCGCGCACGCCGACCGCCCAGCCAGCTGACCCAGATGTCGGCGCGTCGAGCGGCGGCTGCGTGGGGCAAGGGTGCGGTGACCTCGGAGTGCGACGCCCGGACCCTCATCTGCATGCCAGACATGACGGACGCCGGCCGTCGGCAGACGCGCAACACACGCGTTCGCGGCCGAGAATGCATATGCATGAACGAAAGGCGAATGGCGACCTCGCTTAATGAGTCGACATCAGCATGTGGACAAAGCCTTCATAGAGGAGGGTCTGATCGAGGGAAACGGTCTCAGGCACGAAACAACGGTCGTTTTCACGCCCACGGACTCCTCCTCAGGAGACCCCAAGGCTTTCTTGGCTTTCATATTCCTGATGCTCCAGACGAGAGAATCGGGACAACAAATAGGCATTGTTTAAGGCATGAAACTTATCTCACAACAACCAGCGATCTCCTTGCTCGTGTTTATCGCTCAGGTGCACAGAACCTTTCCAGTCGAGGCTGTTGTTCATTATCAGCATAATCATTTTGAACAGATACGTCCATCATCTGCTATTGGTATACGGAACCAATCAGAAAGGGAATGGGCTCTCGTTATCAGTGAGCTCATGTAATGGACATGACAATCAAATTTGCCTCGCTTAGGCTCGCTCGTTTCTTATTGAATAAAAGTATGGCCTTGCACGACGGCCTACACAAACAGTTACATTCTTCTAGCCATCATTTCAGGCAATGGCAAGTTCGTGCTTAGACCTACATCGCTCTTCTGAACGCTTCCTGTTTGCACAAATGCGAGAGCATTTATTGTCCGTGTACTGTGTTTGCATATATCGCAGCGACAACATGACGCTATATTGCATTGCGCAGCATTCTCAGTCAAACAACACACAAAGCGTGCTGTTACTTTGCTGAACACACTTGGTTCCCACATGCCAAAGACTTTTCGCATTTGCGAGCACAGATTGCCCCCACCTTCCAGGCGCTTGCGTAAAGACAGGTGGTTGCCCGTTTGGTAGTTTTTCAAGGTTAAGCGTTTTGAGATATCCTTTGAAGGATTCAGCAGAACCAATTGTTTCCGTAGTTATGCACAAGATCCGGTAAATGGGCAGGGGTCACTAATAAGAACTTCAAAAAAACATACTCATAAGGAACTAATCCTTCTCAGGCTATTGGCATACATGGCAACATATTGTTTCTACAGTCTTTTTCCCAGATAATGATCAAGTGAAGTCCAGTCTGGAAACAGAACTAAGGCTCGAGCGTTAATGCGTCCAGGTACCTCTCAATAAACGGACTGGAACAAACAGGCAAACAAAACAACAGCCAATCACCCCACAATCGCATGACTAACGAGAAGGCAGCATAATACAAAGTCCCCGAGCTATCAAGGAGGCGCACATCTGTCTTAAACCCACCCATAACGTATGCGCGAACGCGGGCAAACAGCTGTCGCTCCGAAGGGCCGCCGCACAAACAGAAAGCGTCACTTTTCACGCTGAATACTTCCGGCGGGCCGACTCTCCCGGCCGCCGGCTGGCCGGCATGGTAATGCGCCGAGCGCTGCCGGCGGTGCGGCGCACTTTCTCGCGAGCGGGGTGCGCCCCCCACCGCGCGTGGCCGGACCACACGGCGCTGTCCAGCCACTGGCCGCAATCTGCATTTATTAGCAGGTGAGCGGAGAGGCCAGACGGCCGGTGTGGCCGGCGGCCGCCCGCGCCAGGGCCGCCCCGGTTATTTCCGTCCGGTCGCGTGGCGTGCGTGAAGGTGCCGCCCAGCGATGTTTGTAAGCGGATGGGCGTGACGCTGTGTTTTGCGGTTCCCCGCCTGGCCGGCGCCACGTTTGCGGGTGCGGGCTGGCCGGTGTCGGATCTGAGATGCGGCCATAGAGCTGCATGTCGATCGCGCTGAGTTTCAGTCGTTGATACCGCGATTTGTCGTGGCCCAGGGCATGTCCAACTCCATGACAGACGTGGAATCCAGATAGTGCTTCTAATAAAAGCCTCCCAGAAATATCCGCACGACTCGCTCTCATCACGGCGTGGGGAAATCTCACGGGGGCGATCATCACGTGAGACTGGCGGCGGAGCAGCTCGGGCGCGGCTCTACCGCGACTCCGGCGCGGCTCCGGTCACGGCCACTGCGAGCCGCCACTCGCGACCGGCTGGCTGTCACGGCCGAGCGGCGGCACTGCGGCGGCCCGTGACCCGACGTCGGGCTGGCCGGTTCGGCCGGTCGGGTCTGGTTCGTTCCGGTCAGGTCTGGGCAAGGGAGGGCGCGTCTCGGCCACCGCACACTGATCACGGCCGGACAACGCTGATAACATTGTCTGTGGCGTGCTTCGACACACGCCGCGGTTGTCATAACTAGAACCCGACATCGATAGCATCCACCAACCGTAACTGTTCGGGATGCATTATTGATGGATTTATTGCTGATGTTCCGTGATGCGTCGCCGGCAGAGTTAATTTGCGACCACGATCTGGGTACGGAACGGCTTAAGCAACAGAATTGCCCACTTATCCACAACGCGGACTCCAGATGCTAGGTTATGATGGTGGTTCGGGCTCCAGCTGTTTTGTTGTTCACTGGCCTTCCCATACAAATGACCAACAACGGTTAAACGTCTGGCCAGTCGCGCACAAGAACTGAAGGTCATCCAGCGTCGGAACTGTTCCAAGAGAAGTGAAAACATCTTATTAGATGTAAATATCACGCATGTACGTTGCAACATCACACAAAGGGCGCAAGTGGGAATTCCAAGTATGCGCCTGGTCGCGAGCGCAGTTCGGCAAGCCAGCTACCCTAGGTCACCGTATGCGCGTATCCTCTCGATTTTAAGGTAAGAAATAGGGACACTTTTGGGATTTCACAATGTGGGGAGGGACAACTTCAACGCTTCAGTGAAAATCAAGGTTGGCACGCCGCAGTCGCGCATCACATGCGCATCCAAAGTGACAACTTCCCGGAGTGTTCCCCAGGCATGGCATCTGTTGTATCTGTCATGACAGCCGTCACACATCTATCAAACTTTTGTCATCACGTCTGTCGCGAGGAAACCGCGACAGACCATGACACATGGAGATTATTGTTGAATGAACGGTATTCAAAAGATAAAAGGTCGTGTTAAGCGCGTAGCTGACAAAGCAGCAGAAGTGATGGAATTTGTCATCTCTGAAAATGACGTATTTTCTGCAAGATGTTTTGTTCTAAGCCTCTCCTGATCGGGGTCAGGTCCCACACCGTGGATCACCCCCCCCCCCCCCCAGTTGAATTATGAGGTTTTAAAGCCCAAACAGCGCCCAACATCGCTCTGAGGATACTCGCTAATTTTAGGGACCCTTGTCGTTCTTTATTACACAAGCCAGAGTACAGGCTGGCTAGTGAAACCCTGAGGAGACTGTGCGCCGTCCTAGAGTCACTTAACTTGGAGCCTGGTAACGGGAGTGGGGGAGGGGGAGCGATCTCTGAAGTCCAAACACCAGGTCCCTCCCCGTCGCTAATCTGCGAGTCCGGACAGCCGGGAGGAGAAGCGGCCGTCGCGGTCCGCTTGCCGCGCAGTTGGAGAGCAGCAGGGCCAGCCGGCCGACCAAGGTTGTAAACAGACCGCATTCTCCTCATCAGCGAGCGCGCCCGTCCGTCCGCTCGCGGCAGGAAACGAAAGCGGAGCGGATCCAGCGCAAACGGCCCGATCAGGCTCAAAATCAATCGGCTGACTGGCCTTCTGCGCACCGGATGCAGCGCGTTGAACCGGCGTTCGACGTCGTTACAGCGTGCGCTGAGTTAGTCGGTTTATCCGCTCTTACTGACAACCCCGTGATGAGTAGCATCGCGTATGTGCGAGGGTGATGGGGCTATTCTATGAATGCTTCGTTCCGCGCAATGCAAAGAATCTTCGATGCTCGGCACGAGCAGTGGAAAACGCTGCGCAAGCCAAATGTAGAAGTTTAAGGTTGTTTAGCATTGCGCTACGTCTTCTTATGCCAAGCAAATGTCTGCAGTGCCAGATTGGATCGTGAAGTGTCCGTCATGGCTCCAAGGACGACCTCTGTTCACCAATCTTCACAACACCAGCAACCATCGCTACCAGGATGTGAGTGCTGTGGCAGTCAAGACTTCAACTAAGCTTGCAGACGAAAACCGAAATAACTGATCAAACTTTTCTGTTAAGCTCGTAACGTGTAATCCTAGGATGTTTCTTGGGTCGAAATCCTCACAAGCTAATCCTGGTGTGAACAGTGTGCTGAGGCTGCGCCGTGGTTTGAGTCGGGCGGGCCGTTTGCTGACGTCCCCGGACGGCCGAGTTCAGATCGGTATCATGTGCCGACACCGCACGACGTCGGCCTCCGATCGCCGTGCGACGTCCACGTACAGCCCCCGGACGGCCGAGTTCAGATCGGTATCATGTGCCGACACCGCACGACGCCGGCCTCCGATCGCCGTGCGACGTCCATGTACAGGCAAAAGTGCATTGTGCGACTCACGAGCGGGGAGCGAGCTGTGGGAACCTGCTACGCGTCTGGACGAACTTTTGACGGTGAGATGCCTTGGCGCTCTCGTTTTCAGATCTGATGTGACCCTGGGAAAGTTATTGCCGTCGACGGCTGGGAAAAGCAATGGATCATACGGATGTAGGCGCCCGATCTTCATCTTTTCTTGATAAAAGGCAGGTGCCGATTGTCCGTAAACACAGACTCTCACATACAGCCCGGGCTACCCGGGCTAAGTGCAGCCCGGATTTTCGAGTCGGTGACCGACAGAGTGAAAAATGTTTCCGGACGCGACGAACACCGAAACACTCATACAGTGTCATTCCCTGGTCACACGCAGAGTAAAACGGGTAAGGACACGACTGACATACCACTAACGACAGGATAACGCAGAGCCGCCCGACACCGACAGCCATCGGAACCGGACCGTCACCTCGAGACCGGACGCCCCCTGTGACCTCTGAAGGACGGCGCTTGACCCCACACCGAGGGCAGTCCGCCTCGCGGGCCGGCTGCTTACCGGCGCCGGTCAGCTCTGATCGATGGCCGACCTATGCAAAATATCGATTTCACCGACCCGCCCGCGCGCTCGAGGAAAGTTAAATGAGGATTGTATTCATGGCCGCGAGTGCGCGCACACCAGATGTACCCCGTGGCGGCGGCAGCTTCGGTCATCAGCGGAAGGCGGCGCTTCAGAAGTGCCCGGCACGGAAGCAGATTACCCGGCTGGGCGACTGCGAAGGCCATGTGGGTTCTGCCGGCCGTTAGTGTATGGGCTGTGTGCCACAATATCACTCAACGCTGTCTGTGCCCGCCACTCTCCTCCACACGGCCAAGAGTCGAGCACATTCCACCCCAGATAGAGTCTTGCTATTGGTGACGAGAGGGAGCGCGTGCCTTTCGGTCAGTGGAGTAAAGGTGATTTATGGTTCATGCCGCCAGACGGCCCACCCCCGCAGAGGCACGGCCGGCACGTACCACCGCGTCCGGCGTCCGGACCAGTCTTCCAACGAGCGCGGCTGTCAGTCTGCTGAGCTCACCTGGGTGACCCCATTCTGACGAGGCTGCTGGCGCGAAGCGTATTGTTTGAATACAACAGCCTTGAGGACACAGGCCGCACGGGCAGTGAACGCTGGCTTCGACAAAGCGTATCTAGAGCGGCAAGCAGCCTGGCTTGCGTATAAAAATGGCATTCTCGCTAATCTTGTAGACAAGAGTAGAATGTCAAGCCAGCTTAGGTCAATACGTGCGAAGAAAGCTGTTGAAACACTTGACCGGCAGAAATGGATTGCGGAAGAAGGCACCTCAACCGTAGCGAGCACAATGCAGGCTAATTAATTGATAGTCAAGGGTAGTTACTAACTTAAGACGTTATTAACGCCAACGCTTTAAAATCACAATAACGAGATCGTTGGTCTACTTATTAAAGGCTGGGCAGTGTCGCGCAGCAATACTGGCATTGTCATTAAAATGCAGCTAGGGTAACCATCAAACCTCGGACCTGCATCACTGTTGTTTAACGAATACATCTTGTTATCGTCCTACGCCGTGAAATGTTCTCTTATTGCATTATGTGCAGACAGCGGGTTTATGACCAAACTCGGTTGCCCTCAATATACATGTCCTTTACAAAGAATAAAACTTGATATGGGCGTATTGCGTCTCCGTCTGTAGTTGTTTTTAACTCCAGTTAGTCCCCCCTTTTAGAAAGAGAGATCCCTATTTTCCTGCCGAACGCTTCACAAGTATGTCAGGGAATGACGTATGAAAGGAATGGAGAGAAGAGAGAGAGAGAGAGAGAGAGAGAGAGAGAGAGAGAGAGAGAGAGAGAGAGAGAGAGAGAGGAGAGAGAGAGAGAGAGAGAGAGGAGAGAGAGAGAGAGAGAGAGAGAGAGAGAGAGAGAGAGAGAGAGAGAGAGAGAGAGGAGAGAGAGAGAGAGAGAGAGAAGAGAGAGAGAGAGAGAGAGAGAGAGAGAGAGAGAGAGAGAGAAGAGAAGAGAGAGAGAGAGAGAGAGAGGCGAGAGATAGAGAGAGAGAAGAGAGAGATAGAGAGAGAGAGATAGAGAGAGAGAGAGAGAGAGAGAGAGAGAGAGGAGAGAGAGAGAGAGAGAGAGAGAAGAGAGAGATAGAGAGAGAGAGAGAGAAGGAGAGAGAGAGAGAGAGAGAGAGAGAGAGAGAAGAGAGAGAAGAAGAGAGAGAGAGAGAGAGAGAGAGAGAGAAGAGAGGAGAGAGAGAGAGAGAGAGAGAGAAAGAGAGAGCGAGAGAGAGAAGAGAGAGCGAGAGAAGAGAGAGAAGAGAGAGAGAGAGAGAGAGAGAGAGAGAAGAGAGATGAGAGAGAGCGAGAGCGAGAAGAAAGACAGAGGGCCTTACAGAGACGGAGCCGAGCGGCGCTGGCCACTGGACCTGATCTGTAGAGGAGGAAGTTGTAGCGGGCAGACTTGCTGACGTAGGGCGAGTTCCCCGAGGTCATGATGGCCGAGTCGGAGGTCGGAGTGGTAGCCGGATAATGTCACTGCCGTCGCTCTCCTCCTGGTCCCCCGACACTTCCCGCATCAGCTTCAGCACCTGCAGAGCGGGGACATTGGTCAGTGGTTAGCCAGAGAGTATACAGCCGCATGGACCCCGTGCTGCGCTGGCCCCAGGTCAAGCCAAGTCAAACGGAAAGGCTCTTACCAGCTTGGTCTCATCGCTGAGCATGTAATGTGATGTCAACTGAAGCGGAGCAAAAATTATTTTTATAACGCAAGAGGCATGACATTGTTCGAGTGATGCTCGCCGTGTTTCTGCCATCGGCACAGCATTGCGCGCCATTGTGCATTGTGGTATTGCTGCGCCGCCAATCTGCTGAATGCTGCGTCAGAGCGAACACCAGAAGGTCAACGTCATCCATGGCTGGCCAAACCGACCAAGCGTGAGGAAGCGTGCCCAGCCATGCGCCACGCCCCACGTGGTGCGAGCCCCGCCGCGGTAAAACAGAGTCAAGTCTGCCTTTATGGCCCGTGGTCTTGTCCGTGTTCGAAGGGCGAGACCGAGACCGGCCGCGTCGCAGGCGGTCTGGCTGGAGCTCGGGCGCGCAGCTGCGCTACGTTCTGTGTGCCGCGGATCGGCCGTGCCCGGCTGTGATGCTGGCTGTTGGGGCTGAACGGGCTGTTCAGCGGCCACTGGCCAGATCAGCCCCAACAGGCAGCCAGTCAGCCGTGCGGCAGACCAGTTCGCGGGAGCTCCGCCGCAAACCAGGACTGCCATCGGGATACGAGAGTCGAAGCTAGTGGATGAAAGGGAGGCGGCCGTTAAGCGCAGTTCTGCTGTAGACGCTTTTGCTGACTGCGAGGGCGTCAAAGTGCCGGTGTTGCGTCCGTGGGGAGCACCACCGTGACTTTATGAATTAAATATCGCCAATGAACATCCTGCAGTTCTAAAGCATTTCTGTGGTCGCCAAAAGCGCGTTTTCACTTTCTCCAGTAGTAGATTTGTGAGATTAAATGAATCCAGCGCTATAAGGAAGCGAAATGGTAATTAACTGTCGGATTAGCTCTCGGATTAAGCAATATCGCTTCTAGTCGCCTGCTAGTAATTTAGTAATCGCATGGAATTAGACTTTCCCAAGAGTAAATGCCCCCGACTCCATTCGTGGCCTTTGTAATGGGAGTCCTGACAATGTTCCCTTCACACGAGCAAATTCCCACGGCGGAAATGAGCCATTTCCTCAGCGTTAATGTCACGATCAGCTACGGCTCAGACGGCGGGGCCTTCGGGCGTCTCGCAGACGATCGGGGCGGGGCAGCATGCCGGACAGTCTGGTCTGACGGGCAGTCCAGACAGCTCAATCAGTCAGACAGCCCAGTCTGACAGGCGATCCAGACAGTCAAGCGGTCCGGACTGATAGACAGCCGGAGTAACAGACAGTTCATATAGTCAGACTGTCCGGACTGACAGGCGATCCAGACAGTCAAGCGGTCCGGAGCAATAGACAGCAAGACAGCCTGGAAGTTCAGACAGCCAGACAGTCCAGTCGCTGGCCGTGGCGGGATGGTCTGTTGACTGGCAGATCGTGTGTCATACCCAATGGTAGAGCGTTCAGCCCGCCACCGGCTTGGACAGCCTTGACTGCCGGTTTTTAATGTCGTGCTGTGCGTTAGTTGCCCGCAAGTTGTTTCTACATTTATTCTTTCCACAAAATTAGAATTCATTTGTGGCCATTATGAAGATGCACTCGCCACGATTTGCAATTTTCCAGTATTCCTATAGCAAGCGATGTGAGAATGCTAGCAGGTGCTGCGATTACAAAGGTGGTTCTACTGAATGCCTGATATTTGTCTCAAACGGTTACATCAAATGAGGACAACAGGGCTTCAAATTAAACGGTGTATTAGTGACGTTGATACGTCGGGTGGCAAATGAGGAAGGTAAGCTGACTAAAAAGATCGGTCTAATTGATATTTAACCTAGTCTGAGTAATCATCTAGGAGAAAGGGTAAAATACGCCCTTGCCATTCAGAGTGATGTTGCTGTCTGGTAAAAAACTTTGATGGGTTCCATGGCGTTCTGAACTGGCTTATACCACTTTAAACCACATTACACCACCCTCAGAGTCTGTTTTTACTTTATCTTGTCACGCCGTATAACGGTGTTGTGCCAAAGGTATGCAACCTACTACATCAGGTACCCTTATATTTCGTTAGCGCCATCGCGTACTCATTGTACTGGACAGCAGGATGGGGTCATTTGATAATGTTTAAATATGGCCGAGACATCCTTATGATCAATGGATGGTGGAAATTGCCGTATGGTGAGTCAGGTAAAGGCTTTACTATTGCTCCTCGAAATTGACACGCATATAACGCGTTGCCGCCAAGCGATGATCCAGTGTGCCTTATCGCCACACCGGCGTCAGTCTGTGGCCGATCTCACCAGCGCATATTGATTTATCGAGCGGTGCGGCTGCGTGCCGGCCGACCCTTTCCCAGTAACAACGGCCGCGCTCCTCGCCGCCGCCGGCGTCCAGTTCCTCTCCCCCGTCGCTGCCCGCGTCGCCGGCCGGCCGCAGAGCCGCTCAATTGGCTGACCCCGCTGACCCGCGGCGGGCGATCAGAGCGCGCGGGCCGCGCCGCAGCGCGTGACGCCGCAGCCGAGGGCCGACCCGGGCCACGCCCCCTAACGACTTGATGACACCGCGCCGACGCGGCGTCGCGTGTCGAGGCGAACTGATTACGGGCGAACTGGAGGGAGGCGACACCGCGCTAATGTCCCGGACACTAGCACGAAGGGTGACGCCCGTGCGCCTGATGACGATTTAACACGATCGTTCATGCGGTTCAAGTGGGGTGAACGATCATGGCCCACATACATTGTAGTCGTTCTCAATGTCTACGTTGTAGAATAACAGTTTACCACGGATGTGTCAACGAACACTGAAGGGCATCGCGGAAGGACAACATTTTGCCCAGCTGCCAGTTGTCGCTCGTTCGTGTAAACCCCGTCCCAGGTTAGCAAACCTGCGAACAATGCAGATCCTTCTTCGTTGACGCCCTTTGGTGAGATTCATTTCAGCTGTTTTTTCCGACCCTCGGATTCATTTCAGCTGTTTTTTTCCGACCCTCGGGGACACAGCATTCCCATTTACATTAGCACTATCAGTCAGGAAAAGGGACCAGGAGATGCGTAGCACCTTTGCATAGCCCTTTTCTTTGTTAAAGTTATAAAAGGAAATAATGTTTTGCATCGATAGCTTAGGCAGCAAGCTCCTAGCCTACCATGGCTTGCTCTTGAGACAGTGAACAATCACTCCAGTTGGGCAATTCTGGTTCAACGGAGCATAGCTTGTCTTGATCTGTCACCCAAATAGAGCTAATGCCTGTATTGTGCAATGTCATGACAGATATCCAAAACTAGGTCTGTCACGCTGTTGACCGTACGTCCTACCAACAGATGACCAACTGAGCTACGCTGACTGAGCTTAAGCATTTGTTTGCTACTCCTTTGCATCCGCGCTGATTTCGCATTCGAAAATTTGGTCTCAACCCATCCAACTTGAATACTGCTACACATCACGGGAATGCTGGACTCAGAGGATTGCGTCAAATTCAACCAAATAGACATGGTTTACACAACTAGCAAGACAGCTAAGCTGTGGCTGAGAATGGAAAAAGGCGTCCAGAAGTAAGGCAGTTTTAGCTTAGAGTGTGCTTTACAATCTCACACTTTCATCACATCGCGAAGCAATGGTTGCTTGGGATTTTGCAGAACACGGGTTGGGCAACTCTGATCGTGCTAACGCAGATACAAAAGGATGCGTCCGTAATGTCTACCGCCGCGCAGTGTAAGAAGCATTCCCCGTGTGGAGATAATGCAGAGCTTGGCTCTTGAGGCACGCTTGCCTGTATAGCTTAATGAGCTCACTTTAACGCATAGCATAGGAAGTCGCACACACGACGATGAAGTGCTGTTATCATGAGCTTCCACGGGTGGCGGAGCTCACGAAGGCACGTCTCTTGGAGAACACCCACCCATAACTAATGCCCAACATCGCATTTCCTCGCAGCATTTTCGACCGGCGAAGTACACGCACCGTTACAGCCGCGCGCACTCTAATAACAGCAGCGGTCGCAAACCGGCGCGCCGGCCTCCGATGGGCACGAACCCGTGCGCCATTTACGCCGGCGCGGCGTTCGCGGCGCGCCGCCGCGGCACCAACGGCGGAGCATCACGGCAGGCACGGCGGGGCGTCACGGGGACCGTGGGAGCGGCGGCGCGCGCCGGGTGCCGGCCGTTTCCGGTGCGGCCGGCGCCGTCGCGGCCTGCCGGCGGCGCCGGCCGCCCGCGGACCGTGCCGCTGGGGCCGGGCCGCCTCGGTTCCCGGCGACCGATGAACGCCCCGGAGACTGTGATACTGGCCACGGCAGTAGCACCGCGCGTGGGAGTGTACGCGTGTGTGCGCGTGGATGACCGCAGAACAAACACTGCGGCGATGCGTCGCCTTTGTCGGCATGTGCGCCGCTGAGCTGGGTGAGACAAATATGCCCTATTTGCTATCAGCTTGTGCACAAGCAACACTGTCGCCCCGTTCTCCTCGAATGCCACTGTCGATCCAATGCATCCATGGAGGCGGGCTGCCGTCTGAGCGGAGCTAGCGTCACACACTGGACCGCGGCATACCTCGCGGCCTCGTGACGGCATGGAGGCGGGCTGCCGTCTGAGCGGAGCTAGCGTCACACACTGGACCGCGGCATACCTCGCGGCCTCGTGACGGCATGGAGGCGGGCTGCCGTCTGAGCGGAGCTAGCGTCACACACTGGACCGCGGCATACCTCGCGGCCTTGTGACGGCGTGGCAGCCAGCCCAGGATACAGAACGGCCCCGGGAAGAGGACGGCCTCGGATAGAGAACGGCTTCGGGTAGAGGACAGCCCCGGGTGGAGGACGGCCCCGGGTGGAGGACGGCCCCGGACAGAGAACGGCACGGGGCAGAGAAAAGCCCCGGGCAGAGAACGACCCCGGGCAGAGAACGGCCGTGAGCAGAGAACGGCCCTGGACAGAGACCGGCCCCGGGCAGAGACCGGCCCCGGG